TTTTAGGATAATGATTGTGTCTATGTGATATCTTTTAGTGATTTTAATTAATTTTTGTATGATGATGTGATCATTTTTAGCTTGTTTTAACGTGTTGTATGTCATAAAATCGCCTTTTGCGTCACATAGCCCTAATTAATTAAACAACAATTTTTTTTAATCTTTTTAATTTTTTTTACATTTTTTAAATTTTTTGATGTTAATTTCCTTTTTTCTTGTTAAACTTGTATTGTTTCGTTTTTTGCAGCCCTGATGATGATGCTAACCAGCATCGAAACGTTGGCTATTTGATTTTTAAATTTAATAAATTAGTCCAAGAAAGCTGAATATTATTTCCATTCCTCATAACAATTATTAGAAACCTATTCGGCTATGTAACGGTCAATGCTTGTGATACGTTTTGAGCACCCTAGTGCCCCGATAAATGTGAATCATGAAAACTTGACAAGCTTTGTTGGACTTTTGGTTTTTGGGAACAACCATCTAGACCTTCTCTTCCTCAAGGTCAGGTATACGTGTCGGTAGAGAACATTTTTCAGGTATCTTCGGAGTTTGTCCAATATTCTCATCAGAATTTTCCGCCTGAAGCAAACAGACACCCAACAACAAAATAATTTGCGCATCCATCTTGATTATGTCCGATTCAGTAGGATCTAGCTTTTCGAAATATAGGACTGGGGGTTATAATTTTTTGAGCGCATCAAAGGCATGATTCTGATCAGCATCCTCAGCTCATGTAGCATGTTTCTTGGTTAAAGATGCTCATGGTTTGGATACTGAAGCGAAATTACCAATGAACCACCGATACCAAGAAAAAGTTTAGAGACAAGACAAAACGTGCTTTGATATTCGTTGAGGAAAATTTTCCAGATATAGCAGAAATTTTACTAAGGTCAGGATGGGTTCCATTTAAACTAATCACATGTCCCAGATACTCTGTTTCTTGTGCTGAGATTATAGAACAAGTAAAATATACACTTGATAAGTTGTCATGTGGGCCGGATGGAATTCCCTTGCTCTTTATAAAGAACTGTTTGTACAATATATCCTTGCGACGCCACTGGCAAATCTCTTGAATTATTCATTGTCGACAGGTTCTTAGATTCTTTCCCGGTTTTGTGGAAGTTCAGCTTTCTCAAACCAATATTTAAGAGTGGGTCATTACAGGGCTGTTTGCACAAAGTCTGAGAGTCCTTAGTTGCTAGATCATCTCATTACTAGGCTGGGATTCTAGGTACCTTTTAAATCCGAGACAACATCGGTTTACGGTGGGTAAATCGACATAAAGTACAAATTTGGTTTTATATCAGAATTATATTTGGAACAGCACGGAGAGGGCTTTCCAGGCTGCTTCTGTTTACTCGAACTTCTCTAAAGCCTTTGACAGGGATAACCATCGCCAGCTAATTAGGAAGCTTGGTTGTTTGGTGGTGAGAGGTCCAATTCTGAGTTGGTTTACTGACCTTCTTGTTGGGAGAACTCAGGCAGTTAGGCAGTTAGGTATGGCGCTGTTGTCTCATGTCTTTGATGTTCCTTCTGGCGTATCCCAAGGATCTCACTGTGGGCCAATCCTGTTCAATCTAATCATATCCGATGTGGGTAGTTGTCATTTGCAGATTATCTTAAAATTTTATCTCAGGTATCATTGTTGGAAGACTCACAACTGCTGCAGGATGATATCAACTTTTTTGATAAATAATGTGGTTCGAACGAAATGAACCTAAATATTGCCAAATGTTGTAAGTGTAAGATAAATTTCCAGGTTAGCCCAAAGGGTGAAATTCCCTTACACAATAATTAATAGGTCATGAATCAAAGAAGTAGCAAGCATCCATGATTTGGGGGGTGGAATTTGACTGTAAGATGTAATTTAATGGTCATATTATCAATACTGCATCAAGGGCTGTTAGACGTTTGGGCCTTATATGTAAGTCCACTACTGATATGTGTGTGAGTAGGTACATTGCGGACATTGTACTGTACGATGGTGCGATCCATGTTGGAATACTCATCGGTTGTTTGGTCACCCCAATATCCTGTTCACATTGCAACTCTGAAAAGGGTTTAAATAGATTTAAAAGGGTGGCTGCCTATAGATTGGGCTTGGCTCACGATGATTATACTTATGACATGATGAGGGCTTTCTTGAGTGTTCATTGTTCATACCTTCTAGTTCTAAAGCAAGAGACTTCAGACGGATCTTTCTTTCCTTTACAAACTTTTGAGTGGGTAATTGACTGCGCAGATCTTTTGGGTCTCATTTCGCTGAGAGCAGGAGAAAGGAGGGTGAGAGATTCCGACCTGCGAATAAGTCTATCTCAATATTGGGCTCAGGTTTGCTAACTCAAAGACTCGGCGTATTGACATCTTTGGCTGTCCTTCTGTTATTGCCTTTAGAAGGAAATTGTTACCGTCTACCGTTGCTTGCTGGATAGTTCTTAAGATAAGTTGTATTTGTTTTTTGGAATTCACAATTGAATACCTATGTAGTTATATTTAAACTTGGTGAATTCATCAGAATGTTGTTTGTTATTTGCTTAGGTTTAAGTTGTAAAACTATATTGTAATTTTTTTTTTATTGTTATTTTAAATTGGCCTTGCCGTAATAGTTATTTACCTAACAAATGCGGAAAGTGATACTTTACCGCACGCAACGGCAGTTGACCGAACGACGCGAAGCGGAGTTCGGTCAAGCCGTTAAGGGCGGTAAAGGCACTTTCCGCATGTGTTAGGTACAAAATTTTACCTATGAGCATCTACACCTCCAAAAAAAGCATTGATAAAATTAATTAATGAATCAGATTAATTAATGGAATAAGATTAAATTTAGAAAGGATCAAAAATCCATTTTCTAAAAAAGAAAGGAATTTTGATTATAAATATCAAATTCTACTTTACCGCACACTATGCGGTAAAGTGGACTACAAAGTGTTCGGTAAAGTGCACTTTACCGCATACTATGCTGTAAAGTTAACTTTACCGCACACTATGCTGTAAAGTTAACTTTACTGCATAGTGTCCGGTAAAGTGATACTTTCCATTTTCAAAAACGTGCGGTAAAGTGCACTTTACCGCACGCTCGTAGGTAAATAAATAAATAATGCACTAAACTGAATCTACTTGAAACTTCGTTCGTATTACCCCTAAAAACAATGAAATAAACAAAAAGTCGATTAATCGCAGTAAGGTATTTTGTATCTTGATGACAAACATCGAGAACTGAAGGCTGAAGGAACAAACAAAATACCTACTTATGAAGAAGTGTTCGTATGATTAGACCCTCCAAGCAAATGAAATTACCAATATTTAAATATTATCGGATTCGTGATAATCAAGTAACCATAATTATTATGAATACGAATTACATTTGTAGATGCTTAAAAGCGGTTTTATGTGTATATTTATTAATATATATTTCCTTCAATTATCAGTAAAAATTGGAATGGCTTATTGATATTATCGGTTATCAGATTTATCCGAAATGAACAAGAATTAATTCAGCTCCATATCATTGTTATCTAAATCCTCGTCTAAATCTTACCAACGCAAAAATTTATTTTAATCCATTTGTTTGTTTCATTCGTGTCCTAGTGTTATTACACTGTATCCAAAATAACTTTAGCAATAAGATATCACCTAATTGTAAATTGTATACTAAATAAAAACCTTGATAAAAAAATTTCTTCAGAAATTAACATGTATATTCTAAACAATAATAATTTGTTACGGTCGTGTAGGTACCCACCTATTCCGGGTCCTCCTTTAAAATTTGTCACAGTGCCATAAGGTCTACTACATACCTACATTTTACATGGTCACTGTTTAATAGTAGGTATGTAGCAGTTACATGATCTTAATTAAATTTGGCAACTGATATCAAAATGGGCAGTTTCTCGAAGGACGGCATTTGGTAACCTCAGGTTTATTCTTAGGATCAGATAAAATATTGAAATACAAACAAATATGAAACGAAAATTTGAGATCAATGTATGCTGCCGAAAGCGAGAAGGGAGTCAACACTTTTAATAGAGAGGATCATGCTCGAAATCGCTATCAGAGATTGATTGCCAAATAAAAAGATCAGAAGAAACATGAAGGTAGCACACGTGCTAGAAAGGATGGCGCCCAGTTAAAGTAGTGAATGTAGTGATGGGGTAGTCATATAGCAGCATACTCGTATAGCACTGCAAATAAGGAGAAGACACGAGAAGTGTAGAGAGAAGCCACAAAAAATGACGAAATTACATTCAAGAGAAGAGAGAGCTGTAAAGAAGTACAGACAGTTTTTGACAGAAAAGTCTCCATTCTGGTGGCTTCTGAGCAATGACTTGGTATACGTTTTTCTATAAACTTTGTAGGATCCGAATCCACCATTTTTTGTTCCGCTTTCGTATTTGTCATACACCCTATGATGCCGTTGAAGATTTTCGAGATCCACGTCCTCTAAGCTCTCTATTGCTTTCACCTTGTAAATATATTCGTATAATAAATATATTGTCAATATATCATTTGTCTGTTTGATCATAATTTATACTCTTGTTACATTTTCGATTTACTTTTTTATTCCTGTAATTGTACCTATACCTACCTACTCCTAGGTATCTATAAGGTTTTACTCATTCTATCTATTATTGCTGAATACTCCACATATTTAGTGTTTTGTTTTTGCATTTTGCTTCACAATTATTTGTAAGAACAATTTCCTCTTCCCAATTCAATTAAAATTTATTTGTAGAAACAGAAATCAATATTTGTTGATAGATAGGTCGTTAAACGTACAACAATACTTATTTTTTCCGGAAACATCTAATTTCTCACCCAATTGATAAATTTGGTGTAGGTACATATCTATTTTACAATCTTCAAATGATTAGAATAGCCTTTGTATTTAAAAATAAAATGGATCAAGCCAGTAGGTAATCTAAATCTTATCTTACCTATTCAGTTTACTCTGCTTTTATTATTCATTGTAAAGATATTGTCATTTCTAATTTAACCGCGTCGACGGTACTTGAATTTATTAATAAGATAATAAAATACCAGCGATTTTAAGGTTGATTTCGAAATTTGTTTTCAATCATGTTTATTTTGGTGTGAATTATCAAGAATTTTTAGTTTAAAATGAAGAAGTGCTGGTTTTGTGGTGAAAGCAACTCTTACATTGTTAGTTCTGGAATATCTGGCAAGACTCCTTCGAAAAATGGCAAAGTTAGTGTACAAAGAACAGTCACATTAGGTGACGGGGAAGAACCAGCTGTAATTCAGCAAAATCATGAAGTAACAGTGAATAGCCGGAGTAAGTAAGAAATTAATACAATTTTAGGTATATAGTTCTACAATACTTACTGCTTATTTTTTTCGTACAGTAGGCAGGTACCTACTGTGGCTTACTCAAAGAGCTAGACAGACCAAAAAAACTGCAATAGGTATAACTTATAACAACCAAAAAATGTTTTAAGTAAATGAACTTCAAATTGGAAATCTAATTCTATTTTAAGATCACAAGCCTTCGGTACCAAATAGAAACCTTACCAATCAGAACGAAACTCCAGACAAGGAACTTGATGAAATTAAGTCAAGATACGACAATACTTCACAAATTGTGTCTAAAGAATATAAAAACTCAAATCCGAAAAGTAGTACTTCAACTAAAATCGAAATATCGGCAATCACTCTAGAAATACAGGAACCAAGAAGCGCGACAAGAACAGATAATTATTCATCAGCTACATCGACTCTGGAAAAAAAGCACCGAGCACCTGAACCTCCTAGCGAAATTGCGCCGCTTGCCAGAGAATCAGAAAATTATTTGTTGCGAGCTCCTTCAATAAGAGAGAGTTTATCAAGAGCATCCTCAGCAAGTTCACTAGATATAACAAATGGTATGTATACACTGTATTTGTGATGATATCAATTTGCCGCACTAAGGACACTCAAAGTCTTGTTACTCTTGTTACCCAAGGACACGTCTTCTGTTGGGTTGCCCATCGACACTGAAGCCATTTACCACTAGCCTCCACTGTGCGCTGAGCTGCCTTTAGCTTCTTCCCACTTTTTTGAGGGTGTCATGGAAGACATCTTTATACCGCCTCAGTTGTCCTTTCTGCTCCCTTTGGCCTTGTGCAAGCTCACCATATAAAAAGCATCTGTAGCGATGTAGGTACGTGCCGTACCCATCTCAGATTCTCTTGCGATACAAGAGTATAGATGCTGTTACATTTGGCTCTTACTAGGACAGTCTTGTTCGAGACCATAGAATTTCGAGACTTTATAGAACCATCATCTGATACCCATGATTTGTCGTAGTTGTCTTTATGCAGTTGGTTTAAAGCTTTTAAGTGTCTCCTGTATGGTGTCCAAGTTAATTCGCAACCGTATAATAGTGTGTAAATTTATTTATTTTTTCCTTTTCATATTCTAGGATCAGGTACCTACCAATTTTTCATTCTCTCCTCTTGAATATTCCGTTTCTGAAAGATTTTTTAGATTTTTTTGATATTTCTGTAAATTATAGTTTATCGATGTCTTCTATAAGTTCTATACTCTTCACTGCTTTCATGTATTTATGTTAAAATATTGTATATGTACCTAATATCTATAATATGTACTAAAAAATATGATTAAAATATTCCAATGATTATTTAGAAAATGGTACCAATGGAGGTGGTTTAGCAGAAGAAAGCCAACAAATGAGAAGGCGGTCTGGTGTTCAAGTAAGTGCTCCAACGACCGTCGAAGTTTCCGCTAATGAACAGTTGCCAGTGTTTGCAAAGAGTACCGAGTGAGTTGAGGATTTTTGCTTCTATTTCATCTCTCATTAATTTTGAAAATACAATGATATAAGTTTTTATTGATTGACAGGACAAATGGCGATTAGTCTATGATAAGTCTAAATAATCAGTTCAAACAATACAAGGATTTTGGATACTATGTTTGATTTATTTTCTATAATCTCGATAGATAATCCTGTCCATGCGATTGTAGAATTAGGCAATAATATTATTTCACACCAATACTTTTATTTCAATTTAAAAATTACTAGTCAATTCAATACCTTATTAGAACAACGCCCTATACAGTGGTTCACAAAAACTTCCCACGAACAACGGTTCGGAAATGCTTCGTTTTTGAAATAGGACTCGTCGAGGAAAGGAAATGTTTTTTTTCATCTATCCGTTATAACTTGGAATAAAAAAGAAAAAAGTACCTACATTTTAAAAAAATCTATTGTACATTATATCCAGTCCTACCACTACCCTGAAAATTTCTTGATTGTATCTTTTACAATAAACAAGATATAATGGATATTTATTTTATTAGGAGTATAAGTAATACTTATGTGACGCGCATGGAAGTTTGAACGCCGAGCGCAGCGAGGCGAATCAAATCCATGCCAGTCACATGAAGAATATGTACTTATACTCCGAATGAAATTGTCGTATAACATAACAAATACATAACAAATCTTCTGGAAAGCGAAATGACAAACAAATTGGACCTACGTTATGGAAACTTACTTAATTTTTTACTTACTTGACATGCGCCCGACATAGCAAATTTAGGGAAATTTAAAGGAAGTTATGGTATGAAAAATGAACGGAAAATTTGTGAAACGTCTACTTTATTATTAAAGTAAATCGTAACGTTCTCGCCCTGGAATTCTCGAGGGGAAAGAGAACAGCAGAGAAACCCTCGATCTAACATTCCTCAAAAATCAAAACATACTGTGTCATTTTAATAAAAATTGTGAGTCAATGAAAGTTTAAATTACGTACCGTCCTTTGTCCCTGTGCTAGAATTTCAATACCACACACTACATTCAATCAACACTACCTATATTCAATAGGTACTGGAGAGTTTTCGATTAGTTAGCCTCATCTGCCGGCAGGTACTGAGGTCCCTGGTTACGGGAGACTACTCAGCTATAGTTGTTATTTTAAGCCAATATCTCTAGATTGATTTTTCAATTTGTTTGCTAGGATATTCGCTCGTCAGGGTAGGAAAATGTTAGTACATTCAACAAGGCTCTAATGCACGCTCTGAATCCAAAACTTAAAATCCCAGCACAAAAGGCAGTACATAATTTCTTTGGTTTTAATTTACTTTTTTATCTGCGTGGTTTAGAGCATGTAACGATTTTTGTTAGATACATGAACAATGTTATAAAAAATGTTATGAAGAAACAAAAAACATAAAAATGAAAAAAAAAAAAAAATCTTGTATAAATTGAACTCTCAAAAACAAAATAACAATTATTCAACTGACCTGTGATCGCTCCTTGTGACACACAAACTAATCACAAATTGAATTGAACAATCAGTTTAATACAAAATAAAAATTGTATAATGAACAATGGTAGACAAGCTCAAGCTCGTTCCATCTAATCTCTCATTCTCTTCTATTTACCCTTCCTGCGCTTTTTCTGTGGCGCCTCTATGTTCCCCCTACTTGACAGCGCAGTACATGGTTGCAACATTTACTTTTATTCAGTAAACGTTTTTTGAGAAGTTAGGATTTAAGGAAATAATATTTTAAATAGGTGGTTTTCCTCAAAATACAATATTTTATTTTCAAACAATCTTTATTCCGAATAGTGCAAAATAAAGGATCACCTTTATAAGCACCTATCCCTGTATATTCATAAACAAGAACTAAATTCTCAAATAAAGAAAATGTTAGAAGATAACATAATCAGACCATCCTGTAGTCCCTGGTCATCCCCTGTGTGGATGATAGTACCTAAGAAAGAAGATACCGCAGGCATACAAAAATGGAGAATGGTCGTTGATTATCGAAAGATAAACGAAAAAACTATTGATGATAGATATCCATTACCTAATATCACGGATATATTAGACCGACTTGATCATAGTAATTATTTTACGACACTAGATTTAGCCTCTGGCTTTCATCAAGTCGAGATGCATGAAAATTCGATACCGAAAACAGCATTTAATGTTGAAAACGGTCATTACGAATTTAACAGAATGCCCTTTGGATTAAAAAACACCCCAGCAACATTCCAAAGCGTGATGGATAATATTACTAGGATTACAGAATGGAATATGTCTACTATACATGGATGATATAATAATTTTTTCCACTTCACTTCATTAACACGTGAAAAATTTAAAGAAAGTATTTGAGAGACTCGAGAAGTTTAATTTAAACATACAGGTGAACTACCTTAAATCGGTATGGGAAAACGTGTAACGGCGTATAAATGTTATACTCTGGCGGAGTATAACTTATACGACGCTCAAGCTGAAACTTATTGAAGTGACTTTTATATCTTGTCAAAATGATCACAAAAATTACTCTTATATGACGTTTGAAAATAATAGTTATTTATGTACCAAGGGCGCAATTAAGGTGTTTGGGCCTCAAACACCATTTGCGCCTGTGGTACATTCAAAATATTATGTACGACCGCGACTTATTATATTTTATTCAAATAATAATTTTAAAAAATTATAAATAAATTAGGAACGCGCCACCCTTCAAAGTCAAATGATGAACATAACTGGTTGTTATTCCTGAATTACCAGTAGAAACTGCAGTTGCCAAACAAACAAGCATTAAAGTTTTGGTTCACTTTGAAGGATAAGAATAACCAAATTGTACCAGTATTTGTTTAATTTTTGACACCCACACCACCAACCTGCACCATGGTGGCACTTTGCGGCCCTGCGGGCGGAAAAATATCAAATTGCGCCCGTAAATTAGGGCGCGAATAGGTGCTTTGGGGCCCGGTCGTACATAATAGTTATTTATGTGTCAAGGGTACTAAGTAGATGATTATGCCCTGAGGGCGACAGTCTTACAAAGCCGAGGGCCTCTGGCCCGAGGGTTTGTAAGTCGCCCGAGGGTATATATCTATTAGTACCCATGGTGCATACAAACTTTTATGTTATACCAGTTGGTTGTGAATAATAAATACCTGGGAAAAAAGTGTCACTTCGCAAATTGTCATCAGTGTGCAAGCATCATCATTTTTTGACAAAAATAATATGTTTATAAGCGTAAATTTATCTTTTGTTAATAAAGAATAAGTTAATTGAAAACTGTTTTTTGCGTCTTTATGACCGCGCGGGCCATAATGTGTACTTTATGCCCGCACGGGCATAAAGTAATGAATTATGTAGATGGTATCATCTAAGGTATAAAAAGACAATAATGTATTGGTATGACATAAAGGATTTTATAGAACGCACTTTTTTCTTTTTTGCCCTGGTATATCCGTTGCTATTTCGAGTTCAAATAAATTGATGAAAGATTATTTGACACTTGATTGCGCAACTTTTTCCATATTTAGTCCACCCTGATGTATCTTGAATGGTTTCCAAAATCCTCATGTACTTACTTCAAGTTATTCCGGACACCCTGTATACAGCTATGAGGAAAAATAAAATTAAATGAAACTTCTCAACTTTTTATTTAATTTTACATCAAATATATTGGTTTAAGCATCAAATTAATATTGGCAATGAGGCAACAACTTTTGCTGCTAGGTGGCGGAGGAGGTGGAAACGAAATGTAAATACACAGTTGCAATGGAATAGAAAATGGTAGACATATTAGTTCGCATATTTTCCGATTTTCTATTCTTGCTGGACGCACAATATACGGTATTTTGGGTTTAAAAGGTAAAACAATAAAACTCCTGAACAGGAAGTAAAAGGAAATAAAATGGTTACTCAGTCGGTTTAAACTTAAACCATCACGTAAACCTTCTTGGCACAATATTGTTACGTAAGCGGTTTCGCACTTAAGTGAGACTAGTCTACCAGATTTAATTAAACTTTATTCGACACAAAATCACAAGAACTACGACGAAACTAGCACTATTACAACACTTCGTTCAACCAGTTCAACTACAATCAGGCTGAACTATAGTCACAAAACTAACTCCAAAGATGTGCTGATTTCAACCGGATTTTTTTGTTTTCCAATTTATACCTTCCAATACCAAATTTCAATTGGCCCCCTCCTTTCATAACAAAGAATTAAAACTGTGTTAACTCCTTTACACTTTTTTGCACTTTCCACGATAAAATTCCGTTTGTATGGGATTGATGTAAAATAAAAATCAATGAATGTTATATCAGGGGTCCTCGGAGGCCATACAATGGACTCAACATGCTCCTATGAGGAAGTCATACGGGGATGAAAAAAGAATCAGTATCAACGAAAGATCTTATGATACGTAGTCGAAATAAAGTAGCATCAGAAAACGTCGCACTCACTATGAGCCCAGAGAAAATGAAAGTTGGGAAGATAATTAAGACCTTCGAAGAACATGCTATACCATGCTTTGAAGAGGGGAAAATACAATCAAACAGTGAACTCTATAAAAGGGTATGACCTGTGCTGCTGGCGGAAAACTTGGACAAATCTTGAGATACCAGTGCCACCTACTTAGTGTACTCAATACCTGTGTCCTGGTGTCCTCCTTGTGATATGGATGGACACGCTGACACCAACAATAAAATACGTTAAGCTCCAAACCACACAGAGAACAAAAACAATCATGCTCGGCATAAGCCTGAAGACCGTGTACGGAATCAAAAGATCAGGGGTCCGATTTTCGAATATTTTCGTATACGAAATTTGATACGATTTCGAATGCTCCCCATTTAATTTACATTGCTATTGCTGTCAGTCAAATTTCGTCTACGAAATGTACTCGAATGGTTTCGAAAATCGCACCCCAGATAGTGAGAACCATATTAGAGGATTATAGATTTCTAACTTCGAAGTGTGGATGGGCAGGCCATGTTGCACAACGGAATGGGGAGTTGAACGAATATAATTATTATATGATGGACACCTAGATCGCACAAGAGAAATGTTGGGTAAAGACAAATGACAAAGCAGAAGTTACTTCGTAGAAACTGGCATCAACTGGCCCTAGGTGGTCACGCATGGATTTAACGGAAAGCCTATGGATTGAGAAATTCGGCATTATTCGGCTAGCACTGCCGTCTTTTGACTGGTTGTCAAGATCATCAAAGTGAAGATGATCCCATTTTCTCATTTTCAGCAGAGGCTATTAATTCTAAGTTGTCAAATTAATTTTCGCTTCCGGCTCCAGCATAGTAAATTTTGCGAAAGCGAACAATTCATGTCATGCCCTTTTTAAAGCAGCTGGCAATACTGAGTAGAGCAGCTTCCATTATGAGCAAAATCAGTTTCAAAATTGCGGCAGGTTCTGATGTTTTATTGAGTGAGTATTGAGCACAGAATATTGGGTGGGACATGTGAAACATGGCTGCAAGAAGAAAAAATTACTACTCCAAATTCTGGGCACAACCTGTTTCAAAACAACTCCGAGACCACCTCTATAGCCAGGGGGGAGGGGGTGGCTTTTATCATTAAAGAGGGTGTGCGCCAAAAATTAAAGTTTTAGTGTAAAAAAATCTAAGAATAACTGTTCAAACCTCGTTATTCTACGTTAAACCATCGCTGAGATATATCGCTTTTAAGTGTGGATGACGCTCTCGTGACGTCACGAGAACTTCGTCCAGCCGCGCTCCACATTGTTAATTGGATTGTTCCCGGCACGCGTGAGTAGTTTTTGTTTAGATTATTGCAGGTATCCAGGAAAAACATATGTAAATTTAATTAACTCCACTTTCTCGTGCGTCGCTTGAGCTTTCGTGACGTCATAGGGTGAAATGCGGTACCTTCATAGAGCCATATCTGCGGTATTATTTGTCATAGAGGGGTGCGGATTTCACTGTTATTCTTAGATTTTTTTTCTCTTTTTTTTGAGATGAAGTTGTTTTTTTGGCGCACACCCCCTTTAACAGTCAATTCAAACACCTTATCACTAAATGCCAAGCGTTATAAAACAGGTGATATATTTGGTAATAAGCCTAAACAAAAGATACACTATCCAACTGATACACTGCTACGCACCTACAAGCACCAGCGAGAAACAAACTAATGGAAGAACTATACGAAGACATTACACGGGCCAGAAACCTCGAAAACTCTCAATATGTAATCATTACAGGGGACTTCAATGCCAAGGTAGGAAAGGAACAACCAGGTGATACATGCTACATGCTACATAGCGAACTTTGGCCAGGGAGAACGGAACGAACGAGGAGATGCACTCGTAAACTTCTTAAACAACGAAAAACTCTACTGCGAAGCCCAGGCGGACTGGTGAAAAATGAAATAGACTTCATCCTCGCTAACAGGAACACTATTTGCAGAGATGTCACAGTGCTAAACAGGTTTGACACAGGAAACGACCATAGACTAGTGCGTGCCAAGATACATATAAACACCAACATAGAAAGGAGAAAACTAATAACCAGACATTCATTCTCTACAAGAGATGCGCTGCAACTCAATCAGGGAACCTATCAAAAAGAAACTGGAGATGACGCTAAGGCCACCAGCACTTCAGGATGACATAGATGGAATCCTCAATAACTACAGCCACAAAAAAAACATGCCAAATAAAAATCAGAGACGATAGAACTAATAAGAAAAAGAAGAAAAACTGACAGAGACTTCCCAGAATATAATACCCTAAATAAGACAACGAAAAAAGAAATAAGAAAAGACCTAAGAGAAAACAAAATCCTGGAAACTATAGAGAAAAATAAAGGCATGAGAGTCCTGAGATCGAACCAAGAGAGGGCAAAACAGAAAATTGTAAAAATCACCAAACAACTATACCAAGCCCAAATGGACCACCTAAACACATTACAAACGTTGGCTCAGAAGACATGAAATATCACCATCAGAAATTAAATACGCACTCCAACAGATGAAAAACGGCAAGAGTCGGGGAGAAGATCGAATACGAATAACACCAAAAATGCTAAAGATGGGTGAAAAAACACTAACAGAGACAATAGGAATGCTGTTAAACAAATGTCTGATAGAAATCCCGAAACCATGGGAAAATGCCGAAGTCCCGATAATATACAGAAAACGGGATCGTTCAAATATAGAAAACCATAGAACAATAAGCCTGCTATCACACCTATATGTACATATATACTTTTCACTAGAATTATCAACAATCGACTGACTGCGAAGCTAGACTCCTACCAACCGGAAGAACAAGCGGGCTTTCGAAGGGGCTTTAGCACTACAGACCATCTGCAAACAATTAAAGCAGTCATCGAGAAAACAACGGAATATAACATACCCCTACATCTGGCGTTTGTGGACTACCAGAAAGCCTTTGACAGCGTTGAAGCCTGGTCTTTTCTAGCGGCAATGGAGGACGCAAGAATCAATTCGAGATACTCTACCCTTATTGAGATATCTATGATAAGGCAACCTTTCACGTTAAAATAGACGACGATCTTGAAACAGACAGAATATCACTTGGCAAGGGAGTACGGCAGGGGGTTACCATCTTTCCCAAGCTATGCACCCTAGCAGTAGAGAATGTTTTTAAGAAGCTGGAATGGGAAAACAAGGCCTAAACATCGATGGAGTATACCTCAATCACCTCAGATTTGTAGTTGATGTAGTCTTGATGAACACCAACATTCAAGAACTGAAAAATATGCTAAATGAGCTAAACCAACAATCCAAGAAAATTGGCCTAAAAATGAACCTAAAAAAGACCAAAATAATGAGCAAAAATGAATGTAACCTCACCACAGACAACGTTACCATAGAAAATGTAGAACATTACATATATTTAGGACATAAAATCAAGCTGGGCGAAGAAAACCAAACGGCGGAAATCAAACGCAGGATCCATTTCGCATGAGTGGCATTCGGAAAAATGAACTTTTTTTTAAGATAAAAAGGGACCCATAAATTTAAAGAGGAAAGCTCACGACAGCTGTATTCTGCCGGTTCTCACTTACGTCTTAGAAACTAGGGCAATAACCCGAAGAGCAGCTGAGCAACTGAGAGTCGCACAAGGAGCCATGGAGAGAATAATGCTGAGAATCACCTTAAAGAATAAAATACGAAATGAACAGATGCGTAATAGAACCAAAGGGACGGATGTTGTGGAAAGGATAGCAAGCCAGAAGTGGCAGTGGATCGGACATGTGGCGAGACAGGACCCAGATAGATGGACCAGGAAACGGCACTCTGGAGACCAAGAAGAACAACAAGAAATGTGGGACAACCGAAAAAGAGATGGATAGACGATGTCAGAACGGTGGCAAGGAGTCAATGGATGAGATTAGCGAGAGATCGCGGGACATGGAAAAACCTGGAAGAGGCCTAATCCGACAATGGATGGACATGGGTTGACGAAGAAGAAAGAGAAGTACACAGTCTGAATGAATCTAACCCTATCATTCTTCAACACACAAACTTGTTGCCAACCTAATCTTGCCTCTGACAATTGATGTGCAGCACTTGCAGAAGAGGTAGAGGTATTCTAATTTGACTGTTGTCTCTTTTAGCGACTCCTGAGTAAGCTCTCGTCCTTCACAACATACAAGAAATTTAAAGTCGTCGCTGTAGCTTCAAATAAATAGTGCTCGTATCACATCCGTTGAATCCATGAGTCAAGGTTGTAATATTTGAAGTCGAAGTTGCTGCTGTAGGAAAAAAGACTAGAACCTTTAGTTAAAATCATTAATATCATCACATCAATTGAGTACAATAGGCAGAGGCGGGGAGAATTTTCTATTCTCTACCGCTGCATAGGATTAAAACATTCTTGCATTACCAGAAATTCTTAATTTATCATAATTTTATTGAATTTGAAAAATTCTGGCGTATTATCACGAAAACCTTTCCTTTAAAACTTATGAATTGCTTTTCAATGTATCAACCTATTGAGAATGTATAATCAAGAAGACTAATGTATACAAACTGAAACTGTGTGATTCCAGAGATGAAGAGGGCATCAGGAAAGCAATCGAGGCAAATGAATTTCTGAGCAAAATTCTTTCTGGAAAACGACTAAATGATATCATCAATGCCATGCAACTCCGAGATGTGCCAGCTAAGAAAACCCTCATTAAACAAGGTAAATAATGAAAGTTCAAAATTGAATGCACAAATTAATTATCCGTATTCAATTTAGGCGATAAAGGCTCGGAAATGTTTGTCTCCAAAAGCGGAAAATATAAAATTTTGGTGAATAGGAAAGTTGTGGATGAATTCGATAATACACGAGTGTTTGGAGAACTGGCAATCTTGTACAATGCTAAAAGGTAAAATTTGTTTTTTATTATTTAACTTTCAAATAATTTATTTGCATTTCTAGATTGGCTACAATTCAAGCAGTAACGGCCGGTCAAGTTTGGGTTTTAGAGCGTCAACTTTATCAAAAAATTGTCATTAGTTCAAATCTTAAAGAACAAGATGAAAATCTACATTTTCTACAAAACGTTGAATACCTAAACGTAGTCGATGTTGACGTTTTAAGGCAAGTTTCCAACTTATTGAAGCCAGAATTTTTCGCTCCTGGAACTGTTATTATCCGACAAGGAGACAAGGGAGATAAATTTTATATAATTCGAGCAGGTAGGTAACTATTTTTATTAGATAAGCAAAATGCATTAGATTATGTAAATATTTGTGGGATTGAATTGATTTTAGGTGTAGTAACAGTTTCAAAAAGTGGCGAAGGTGTACTTGGAATGCTTCAAAAAGGAAAATGTTTTGGAGAAAAGGCTTTACAAAAAGAAGATACAAGGTAGATTTTCTAAATAATCTTTAAATAACATTAACAGAAGCCAACAATCTTTCTCCTTAGACAGGCAACAGTAACAGCTGAAGCCCCAGGTGTAGAATGTTTGACTTTAACAAGAAGAGATTTTATCAATCATTTTGGAGATGTGGAAATTCCAATGATCATGGTGAAAAAAGTTAGTGACATGAAAACTGATATGTTGGGTGAATATCAGGATATTATATTGGAAGATTTGAAAATTATCAAGACGTTAGGTGTTGGAGGGTAAGAGCTAACATTATAAGAGAAGATATCAGAATAATTTATGAAATTTAAGATTTGGAAGAGTAGAACTAGTTCAACATAAAAAGCACAAAAACAAAGTCTTCGCCTTGAAATATCTCAAAAAAATCGAAATCGTTTACCAAAACCAACAAGAACATGTTTATAACGAAAAAATGATACAGATGAATTGTCGATCTCCATTTATTGCAAGACTTTATAGGACTTATAAAGACAACAAGTATTTTTTTTGGTATTTATAACTCAACTTTCAATTAATTTTATTAATTTAAGATATGTATATTTTTTAATGGAATCATGTTTGGGAGGAGATTTATTTTCACTTTTGCACAAGCAAAAAGGAAAACGTTTTGAAGAAAAAGATGCCAAATTTTTATCTGCATGTGTTGTTGAAGCATTGGAGCATCTACACAGGTCAGTGATAATACCTCTTATTTCCATAGTCAATGATTTTAGAATGACATAGGTAATTTATGGAACATTTGTTTTCGTGGTTGGCGTTAAATTCGAGTTTTTGGGAAGAGCTAAATTTCGGAAAATGGGGTGGTTTGTATTTTAGTCTTGAACCTTTTTTGCATTTTCCCGCAGCATCAGAGGTTAAATTATCTGTTAAATAATCCTCCGACAACGAGACCTGCTTTATCTGTGACGGGTCAAAGTTTAGACGAGCATGAACAGCAAAGTGATTCACAATAAATTTGAAGATAAAAAGATATAATTCAATAAAGCAAATGTGGAATTGCAGAAACTCATCGTTAGGCAAAAATATCAGGTTTAAGTATAGATTGAATTAATTTTAAGAGATAGTGATAGCAGAAAATATTCTTGGTGATAGAAACTGTTCCAAAGAGAAGGATAGTAAAGTTTTGAAAAATTATGCTTCCTTGTCAGGTTCAGAATGTGTCCTTTTTGTATAGAAAATCCTGTACCTAATATAGTTTGACCGTAAGCAGCAGTTTGCACATGTAACTTTCCCAAAGACAAAGTGAAAATATGTATATACTGTCCTCCAAAGAATTATAGAGAGAAGTTGTGGGTTAAGGACGAAGTGGAATAAAACTTCCCTATTTATAAATTCGTCGACGTTTCGACCATTTATTCAGGTCTTTATCAACGCTCTTTATGTAACAGAAGCTTCCAAGTCAAAATGCTCAAAATACAAAACATGATACACAACCGGAAAAATACATCTAATTTAAAATTAGAAAAATACGCTAATTTGAATAAAAAAAAAGCAAATGCACGACGCACGTACAGACTGAACAAAAATTATACTGTTTAAGAGTATTGTTCACGTATTGTCGCATTTGTCCGGTTGTGTATCATAATATGGAATTGTATTTTGAGGGTTTTGACTTGGAAACTTCTATATAAAAAGCCTTGATAAAGATGTGGATAAAAGGTCGAAACTTCGGCGAATTTATAAATAAGGAAGTTTTATTCTACTTCGTCCTTGACCCACAACTTCTCTCTACCATAATTATTTCCCAAAGACCTCTACAACCTGTGATCAGATTAGAGATGAGTATCAACTACTGTTTGTTTGTCCATTCCACTTGTCAACTCATGAGAATTACTGTGTCTTGGATCAGAAATTAGCATTAGTTTCAGACCCCTAATCCTTTTGCCAACATCGCATCTGATTCACCCTTTCTTTCCAAACACTCGGATTTAGCATTAAGACAGGGTACCTACTCAAGAAAAAAGTTACTTACATAGAAACTTGCATCAGTCAACGCTGATATTAGTAACTATGTTCCAATCTTAGCAATATTTATATTATTTTTTTTAGTAAAGGCATTGTGTACAGAGATCTTAAACCTGAAAATCTGCTGTTGGATAAAAATGGTTACTTGAAACTGACTGATTTTGGTTTTGCCAAAAAAATGCCCCCCAGAGGAAAAACTTTTACATTTGCCGGCACCCCTGAATATGTAGCCCCAGAAATCGTACTCAATAGAGGACACGATAGGGCTGTTGACTATTGGGCATTTGGAGCGTTTATTTTCGAATTATTGACAGGTAGAACTAAATCCATACGTTCTTATAATTTAAGCATTACAAACTTCAAATTCTTAGGAAGAACACCATTCCGTACAGGCGATAGCAGTCACATGAGAACTTATAATAAGATATTGAATGGCATTGACAATGTAAATTTTCCAACTTATATGAATCCAAAGGCCAGAAATATGATCGAGAAATTATGTAGGCCAGTGCCAGCAGAAAGGTTGGGAATGCAGAGAGGAGGAACCAGGGATATTAAAGCTCATAAATGGTACCAAGGTAAGAAACCTAGTTTGAATCTTTGGACATCACAATTAACAACAAATTTTAGGTTTTGATTGGCAAAAATTCCAACATTTGTCAATGCCATCCTCCTTCAAACCAAAATTGAAAGATGCTATAGATACAAGTAATTTTGATTTCTTCAAGCAGGATAAGGACTTTCCACCTGATGAAACTTCTGGTTGGGATATACATTTTTAACAGCATATAGTTAGTATCCTGACATTTCACAATGTGGAAGGAATAATACAATATTTTTTTAACACTGAAAATTTGAAAGAAAATAAAACCCCTGAACAGTGATAATATAGATAATATTTTATATTTCAATTAATATTTTCAAATAAATACAAATACAATGTTATAGTACAACAAAAAAAATCATTCATGTTCAAGCCACACATTGAACTTAGTTAATGAATTGTAATTGTATGCAGTAATTATAGAAAACCATAATAAATTTTTAAAATTTGTTCCCATACCCTATTTACCTCAAAATTTAAAATTTTAAAGTTAAAATTAGGAAAAGACCTCATAAAAATTAAAATAAACAAGTATGTATGTACAGAGTCCTTATTTTCTATTATGTGACTGGTAAGTAGGACTACTGCCTAGGCGATAGGCTTGTATTTGGAAAAACATTTAAATACAAAAATTCTCAAATACTGCTTTACCTATAGCTTCAATATTTTGTAAGAATTAGGTAAAAAGGCATAGAACTATGAAATGCCAATGAAAATAAGATGTTTTTCTATGATTGAATCAGAATAAGTTTTAAAACTTAATTACTTTTCTTGAGAGTTTTACTTTCAATTTACTATAAACTATGTAACATACCTAGTTCATATTAAATTTATTGTAATACTTATGTGCCATGCTGCATAAATAGTGAATATAACTGCTCATTCCATAATTTGGAATTTATTTAAATGAAAATGTAAACAGATATTTAAGCCCTAACTAAAAAAAAAAAAAAAAACAAATAATCAAAATCTTCAAACTGTCTTTAACTTCCTTGAGGCACATTCCCTAAATTACCACTTAAAAGTTGCTGCGCAGATCTAGCAGCAATAGTCGGGTCATAAATTAACTGTGTGGGTTGTAAGGGAACTGAAAAAGTTTGTGGAACAGATACTGCTGGATAATTAACTGGTGGGTAACTTAAATTCACTGTTTCGCCTTGTGCATAAGTCGTTTGACTTGGTGTTGTTGTACTTTGAGGTTGCCCGTAGCTAAATTGAGCCAAATTCGGTTGAAAACTGCTTGGATTGTACATTGGAATTTGGGGAAGTGTTGGGAATTGGGGTATTGATACTGGCGGAGCAGTATATTGGCTAAGAGGAGGGGCATTTGGTAAATTACTGGCGCTTGTGAGCTGACTTTTTGGAATTTGAGGAGTTGCAATTTGGAGAGGTTGAGGAGTAGCATCTTGGGACAATTGAGAAGTTGGAATTTGAGGAGCTGGGATTTGGGGAAGTTTACATGCTGGACTGGGATAAGATTTTGGAGTTTCAGGCGCAGGTTGACTTATAGGGATCACACTTGGAGTGAACTGAGGCAACGAAGTTGGGGGAACTACATTTGAAACTCCAACAAAATGTGGAGTACTTGTCAAAGGACTGGTTGGAGTGGTAGCGGGTGCTCCTAGATTCAATCCAGCAGTATTTTGTATTAAATTTGAAATATCTTGTGGGGCGCTTACTGTACTACTTATAACTGGAGCACTAGATGATGTTGCTACTGGTGTTGTTGCTACATTCACATGACTTTGCTGGGAAGGTATATTCGCTGGTGGCCCGTATGTGGTATTTTGAGTCTCTGAAGGTGGATGAGCACGAACAGGAATTCGATGAAGATATCCATAGCCAATCCCGCATCCTTTTAAAAAATATTATTCAAGTTTTGTTTTGACAAAAAAATGTCAAAAATAAACTCACCTACTAATCCTTCTCCTCCCCATCTCGAATTTGGAGTGATAGTAACTTCTCTACAAGTATCTGTGTCACAATTGTAAACGTATAGTTTTAAAGGATTTCCATCGTGGTTTTCAATGAGATTGTAAAGGTCCTCACTTTCATGCATAATTGAATCTGATCCAATAATGTAGTCAGAAAATGGCTTAAGACCTACAAAAAACAAAAGGGATTTGTACTAGGGCATCATGTTATAAAGTTATCTGAATGCATAATAACATATTCTCTTGATTTTTGTATGTACAAGGAACGGATAATCATAAGAACCTATGAAATCAGAGACTAATAATTTCGGAAAGATACTATTTACTTATTACCTCGCTTATTACTAAATATTTCTGTTAGGTTTCAAGATTAGGTTAAAACCACAGATAAGGGATACAAAACTCTCTCGAACCTATATTATAGATAGGCAACTCAATACAAACATTTTGTTCCTGATTACAGCGCCCTCTCGCGTGTGTAGTCAGCAACTTGAGAGCGCGGGAAGCGCTCCTTTTTAAATTAATTTTTTTTTTCTTTAGGATCTCTTTATCATTTTTAATTGCCACTAGCAATGAACAATTTAATATGTTTCTAGTGGAAATAAAATTATGATAAAGTCTCTTAATCACATACCGAAGAGTTACATACTAATTATTCCATGTATTAAATACAAAAATAACAATTTTGAATTAGTTTATTAACTACAGTATGATATCAATCCAATCAATAATAGGTATACCTACCTACAAGAATAAGATTTTTTGATTGTAAACGTTTTGCAGGCATAAAATGAACACCCAAAAAGAAAGAAAGTTACAGTGGTAAAATTACAGGAGGTAAAATCCCGATTTCGGTATGATGTAGGGAATGAAACATACCTGTTCATCATTTTTGGGAATTCGATGAATTTTTACTCTGTTCCCTCGGCTTTCACACATTGCCACATAACAAGATAAAACCATTTTGCTTTGAACGGAGAAAATTTTCAATCTCTGATTCAAAATATTGAATAAAAATGGAATATGTCAAAATTTGTCAAAATATAATGAAAAAGTAAAAGTGAAGCGACGCTGCCACATGTCAAAAGCATGGGATATTTGTTTTGGAAAAGAAATGTAATTTCAAATCGTACTACTAGCAATTATATGTAAGCGAGGTACACGACACTTTTTTTCCCTATTGTTGGACGCTTTTTAAAACAAATAAAGAATAATCTGGACTTTTTATGTATAAATCTGACAACAGCATTGGATGACAGCGCCTCTGCCGTCTGTAGTCGCAAGCTTTTAGCGGAACAAATTGCGCCATAAGAGTTGCACATGCATGGTTAAAACATCTATAGACAATAAACGACCTGTAGCAGACAAACGAAAAATTCAATATGTATGTTCTTGAATCACACATGTATAAGATGATAAAGTAATAGTCAAGTTACTAATAGAATGCAGAAACCCAATTACTGATAGATACGAAATGACAACCATAAATTCAGTGAATCGTTCAGAAAGGACCCCGCACATTTCTTATGGAAAAGTGATCTATGTGGAATTTTGCTGAATTTTTGATATGGTGTAGGGGGAGTCGTCCTTAACAAAAGTTATCATTGCGCTAATGTTTAATACCGGACAGTTTTTAAGATATGAATTAAGAACTTTTTTAATATAATACTCTTCAATATGATGTCATCAGTATGCTCACAGCACCGAAAATTATGACTATCCTTTTCACTTTTGACTTTGACTATACTCTTCTCCTTTCAACATTTAAGAACTAAAAAAAAAACAACAGGTACAAGTGAAATCGCTATATGACAGACATCATGACATGAAGTTGACGATTGCGGCAGGAACTAAGGTGTTGTTTACAATATCTACTTATTTGTCACTAATCGCTATCGCTATCTTTTTTTTTCTTAATGTTAAAAGGAGGAGAGTAAAGTCAAAGTCAAAAGTGGAAAGGATACTAATAATTTTCGTTGCTGTGAACATACTGGTGACGTCATACTGAAGAGTATCACATTAAAAATGTTTTTAATTGATATCTTGAAAACTGTTCGGTATTAAACATTAGTGCAATGATAACTTTTGTAAAAGACGACTCCCTCTACACAATATCAAAAATTCAGCGAAATTCCACATAGATCGCTTTTCCATAAGAAATGTGCGGGGTCCTTTATGTACAGAATAATATGCTTAAGGCCGTGTTTATGTAGGAGCTGTGATAAACGATAAAAGCAACGATACTAATGATACTATATACTATAAATTAGTATCATTGATTTTATCGTGTATCACAGCTCCAACATAAACACGACCTTAGAAGTCAGGAGAATTTTCATGTCTTTCTTTAATTTTCTCTCATTTTCTATTCTTCTTATTTGCAAAAGAAGGTGATTAAAGATGTATTTACTTTTATAATTGAATTTTAAATTTGGGTTGATTTTGGTATAGGCAATGGGAGTTTGTATGTTTGCTAGGTGTTAAGTGTATTTTGTACCTTGATTTCATGTTTATATTTTTTATAGATGAGACAAGCAGTTTCCATTAAAAACGAGCAAGGTAGTGTCAATATCTTCTGTGTTAAAAATAATGGTTTTTAAATGAATCTCTATTCTTTGCTTTGAACATGTAACGAATGACTATCTTTTAATATGAAGAGTTAAACAAATAAATATTGGGCACAGCAACCCCAGAAGCAAATACCATATCCAAAACAAGACTCAATGATGAAAAAATATGTATTTTTAACAGTTGGCATGTTCTGAAAAGGTGTTGGCAGATATTTTTTCAACTATATAAAATATGTGAGGTTCAAACTTCAATTTGTGGTCAATAAGCTCCCCAAAAACCTATTCACCAGCCAATCATATTTATTTGTGGAAGACGGGTGGTATGAATAAAAACTGAGTTTAAACTCGGAGTATATACTCGTGAGCATGAGTATGAAGTTTAAGCTTATACTCCATTTCGTAAGAATAAAAAAGGTTCCGGTTTGATAAGTACATACTCCTAGTACATAGAGTAGATACTCAACATTTTATTTTGCTTGCCACCGCGCTTTCGCCTCTATATCCTATTCACAAACTGATGTCCACAGGTACAGGTAAATTTATCACCTTTCCCTATCAAATAGCATTGAACAGTGATAAATTTTACCTGTACCTGTGGACATCGGATTGTGAATGGATAAAATTATATCCGCAGGACTGCGAGGAAATTTGATCCACCGTTCACTTTGCTGAATTATCTTATCAGCTACTGCCGATACAACTTTAGACACCAAAGTTTGGTGAACACCAACATCCTCGCCTACTCCTGCCTGAAACCCCGGGTCACCCACGTATCTTAAAAATATTTTTAATTTGTCTTTGTTGCATAAAGAACCACCTCTTCTTTCTCCAGACTCTTCACCCAAAAATTAATTTTACAACCACTCCACATTTTCTTTACTAAACCGGTACAACGTTTTAAAGTCCCGATCATACATATTTTTTCTAGCTTTGTAAATTTTTATCCGAACGCAGGTTAAGATTGAAGAACTCTCCCATAGCTCTGCCTTCTGCTGAGGGAAAATCGGTACTGAAATAACTTGAAGCAGAAAGTTGAGTCTACTGCATAGTAAACTCTAAAACTATGCAGTAGATTCTCCTGCCGAAGAGCATAAACAATTTTTTATTCATACCAAAAGTGTGAATCTACTCATACCAAATTATACATAGGAGTACCTACTCAAGCGAAATATCTGCTCGTAGTGTTTATTCATACCATGTGGAGTGTTTACTCCAAAATTTGGAGTAGAAACTAAATGCTCATTTTTATTCATACCACCCATTCCACTTCCTATTCCGTCGAGTACACTTGTTGTTCTTTGGTTCACCCTTTCGAGCCCATACTCTCCCAGATTATCAGGGTCGCCATTATCACAAATCTAGATTAACCGAGCCAATCTAAAAACCCGAAGGCCCTGATGATCTAAGGTACACGTAAACCAGTGTTGCCAGATGACCAAAACCAAATTATGGTACAATGCTGTAGAAATTATTGTTTTTTGCATGATTTTATCGTACAAAACTGAGTTTACCAGTGTGACGTCATTGGAGCCTGGTGGCCTCATTAAATTGAAGAGGTTTGGTTGTATTTGCAAAACTATTTTATTAAAAAAAAAACATTTAGAAAAAATATAAAAGAAAAAAAACACTCATTTTTGTTATCCCCTACCATTTGTTATAATTCAGGCACTGGAAAAAAGAGCTGGTATTTCAATTTTTAATGGAGGTTAACGATTCCAGTGTATTTTTTTCAAAATTTATCAACATTCACAAATTATCGTACAGGGTGGCCCAAATTCGAGCCTCATCATTGGGATCTCGGTAACCGTAAGAGATACGGGGTCGGTTAAATTATGGCAAAGTTGCGCAATTTTATGACCAATAGAGTGCCATTTTGATACTAGAAAAATTCCGAATACTTCCGGAGATATTCGGAAAAAACCGAAATTTTGTAAAATCGGTTTTATTTTTTCCTGGGCTTATTTGAAGAGCAATTTTAAAATAAATGTCACTTCATTGTTGTCACTTTTTTCCCTTTAGAAAATGGTGCTACTAAATTTAAAATTCGATGTTTCGTCTTCAGGCGGCCATCCTCAACTTCCTTTTTTTAAATACGGACCTGGATTTTTTATTTGCGATTTTGTCATCTTTGGGTATCTTAAAACCGATACTGTTTATAATTTTTCAATAACACAGTAAAAAAAGGAGGTCCGTATTTAAAAAAAAAATAAATTGATGATGATTCCAAAGGAACGAAATGTTGGATTTTAAATTTAATACCGCCATCTTGTAGAGAAGAAAAAGTGACAATGGAAATGTGAAATTAGTTTTTCACATTTTTTTTTAAATAAAATCAGGAAAAAATTAAAACTATACGAAAAAAACATGAATTTCTTGTTTTTCATAAATTTTCTCCTGATTCCATTTGAAAAGATTTTGAAAAACTAATTCCACATTCCCATTGTCACTTTTTCTTCTCTACAAGATGGCATATTAAATTTCAAATCCAACGTTTCATTCCTCTGGAATCATCATCAATTTTTTTTTTTTTTTAAATACGGACCTGCTTTTTTCGGATTTACGATGCCCAAAGATGACAAAATCGCAAATAAAAAATGTAGGTCCGTATTTAAAAAACGTAAGTTGAGGATGGCCGCCTGAAGACGAAACGTCGAATTTTAAATTTAGTAGCACCATCTTCTAAAGGGGAAAGAGTTACAATGATGAAGTGACATTTATTTTAAAATTGCTTTCCAAATAAGCTCGGGAAAAAATAAAAACGATTTTACAAAATTTTGGTTTTTTCCGAATATCTCCGGAAATATTCGGAATCTTTCTAGTTTCAAAACGCCATTCTATTGGTCATAAAACTGCGCAACTTTGCCATAATTTAACCGACCCCGTATCTCTTACGGTTACCTAGATTCCAATGATGAGGCTCGAATGTGGGCCACCCTGTACATTTATCCATTATCGATCTTACATCTTATCCTCTTGTAATTATCGTACAAATACGATAATTATCGTACGTCTGGCAACACTGACGTAAACTTTTACCTGAGCATCCTGAAAAAATTGATCGAATTTTGAATATTTTTTAAGTAAAGTTATTGCAATCCTGTCTTTATCACTACCAGAAATCACGTCAGAGGCTAAAGCTACAGATTTGTTATGACTTTTGTCATGAAGTTTCTCCTTCCTTTAATTGGTTTATACTGGTAAAGGGAAAAAGGAAAAGGGTTCATCACTAGGGAAAGGGCAAGCAGTAGGAAAAAGATTTTTACTCTGAAATAAAATCAAGTAAAGTCTTCATGAGCAAAGCCCAATAAAAAACTAGTGGCCTGTTGATTTATCCATATTATATTCTGTTATCAAACTTTATATTCTAGTTCATTACTGTATGAGGTGAGGTAATAAAGCAATTAATTGCATAATCTTGAATGAAGGCATGGGGCACTGATCAGGTTAGTGCTCAATCAACAATTAACATAATAAAATTATGTCACTGTTCAAGGGAAATTCAAGTATCTCTTGGAATTGTAAAAATCAAAAGTTCTTACCCGCTAAGTCGGCTGGAGAATTCGGATGTACTTCCAATATATGCCAAACATTGTCTTTGGCGGCTTCAAAAGAACAAAATTTGATACTAATTCCTAAAAGACCTTGGCCACCCCAAGAATCGCTTGGTTCTACTGTAACGCTTCTGACACCTTGACTTTTGCAACTATAAAGAGTTACTGGCAGAGATTTTCCTAAAAAAATCCAAATTATTCAGTATACTTCTAAATAATTTAGAAAAAAAAAATTACCCATTCCAGTTTTTAATATATCTTTCAGTGTTCCATCTTCTTTATCAAGGCGTATGCCATTTATTGCTATAATAAAGTCGAAAAATGGTTGGAAACCTGCTTTAGCACCTGGAGAGTTTTCTTGAACCTACAAATATTACAAAATCAAATTTTTGAGGCTCAATTTCTTCAGGGATGCAAAAACTTAAAATTTTTAGGCAAGAAACGATTATCAAAACCACTGATTTCTATTAATTATTTACCCTGAGAACGTGATATCCATCGGTGCCTCCTCCAGGAATATCTACACTTCCCGAATTTCCCATTTTTCCGGTTTATTTATTGAAAAATACGTGGCATATTTTGGAAAATTACAATCATCATACACATAACCCAAAACAACTCCCCATCTGACTTTGACGTTTTGAGTAATATTTGTATTCCTTTCGACTGAAACACTCGAGCTACTCGCTCCGGTGTTAAGTCGCCCCCGATTTGCAGGGAACAGATGCGTGGTGCAACAAACACTTTTCGAAAGGAATAAGCGCGTGAAGCCCTGGCTCGCCCCTCTAATGAGGCAATCCAATACATCTGTCAGACACAAAATTCGATATGGCGTCGCGGCCAAAAAGTTAATTTTGAATATTATGTCTTTTTGATGCGTATTTTAGTTATTTTGCTTCGAGTTTTGCATGCAAGTTTCATTTTGATTATTTAATATAAAATTTGTTGACTAAGTACCTGTGTAACCTATTAAGTCGGGCAGAAACTATAATATGTAGATATTTTTTGGTGTTTAGTTTTAGTGTTGTAGAAATGCCGAATAACTGCGTGGTTGTCGGATGCGGAAGCCTTCGAGAGCGGGACAGTGTGTCTCAAATCTACAGGGTCCCAAGCGTACCCAGTTCAGTAGGTGTTCCGCATTCAAATGAACATTAAGAAAAAGAGGAATGGCATAGTTAGCATGGTTAGCGGCAATCAAAGTGAACAATCTTTCACAATTTAAAGTGACAAGTCAAAGAGTAAGCATTTCATCACAAAAATAAACGAGTGCTATTTTGCATTATGTCTTCAACCATCATAAATACATGGTTTTATAATAGGAAAACCAATAAGTAAGTTAGAGGATATGGATAATCCTGACTGGGCACCAACTTCTTGTAAATATATAGGCTCTGCATAATGATAATAGAAAATTATGGCACCTTCAAATATATAGCGACATATACAGACCTTTTGCACCGCTACTTTTGATGCCATTTTACTTTATCGCTTATTTCGATAAAGTTTGACACCTGCGAGTGAATACGTTATCCCGTATTAACTAACGCTGATAATCGAACATGGTTGCCTTTATCGTAAAACGTTAGGTTGAGAAATTAACACGTTCGCTTCCCATCATATAAAGCGTTTGATACATCGCTGCCCACCATTGGATTTACCCAACACAAATACGCAGCACATATAGTGCAAACTGTGGTCTGTGAAACTCCGAAAAAACAGCAGACAGCACACGACTAAAAAATGAAGTTTGCGCCATGTGTGGCTGCCACGCCATCTTGAATGCACGTGGTAAAACAAAAATTCAATATGGCGTGGAAGCCAAGCAAGTTTATTTTGAATACGTGTTTTTATGCATATTCTAATTATTTTGCTTCAGTTCAGCTGGCAGATTTGATTTTGATTATTTAATAAAATATTTGTTGATTAGGTACGTGAACTATTAGGTCGGGCAGAAAATAGGTTTTTTTTTTTTTGTGTTTTTTGAAACCGATGCAAAAGAAGAATAGGCCACTCTCACGCAAGGATAATACACACAACTAAGGATTGCTTATCGGTTTCGTTTTTGGTAATCGCCGCCATATTGGTGTGTCACCATTTCTGACGTCATAACTAAGTCGTCGCACCAGCGATCGTAGTTTAGATTTTAAAGGACCCCGCACGCATGGAATTCAACCAAATTGTAGTATATTATAAATCTCACCTTTCTGATCAGTGATCAATACCTACCATGGGCACAACTTAACCCTTATAACTAGTTTTTGAGATACAAGTAGTTTAATGTCCAAGTAATTTACACATTTTATATGTATATTACATCACATCTATAATCAACCATCCAAGGACCTTTTTTTTTCAGTTATACATGTAAACCCCATACTTTGTGAGTGGCTTGCTTACATCAAGTCCGACAACTTTTTCCTCTACGACTTTTCTCGGAAATGGCACGATACATGTAAATCTAATTTCACGATTAATGTTTGATTTTTATGTCTAAATCACGGAAATCAACTTGTCGACAAAAATAATGGGAAATTGGGGAAGTCCGACACACCCAAAATGTCATAGTCAGCATAGTCTCTAAAGAGTGCCGACTGAAATCTATCTGCACTATCCAGACATTGCAGAGTAAAACCCATCTGCACTGTCCAGATGATTTCATTCATTCATCAAGCAAGTTAATATTTATATTCAAAATGGCTTGCATTCCTTGCTGGGGTTCAGTGTATTAATAGTGCACAAAATGAGTGTTTTTTAATGGTACCTGAGAGTGACAATTTTCACAGGTTAAGTCGAGCGTGCGCAAAGTATTACTTTTCACGGAGAGAGGAAAACTAAAACTTTGAGCACGGAAATGCGTGCGGAAAAGTATTTCGTATGTGGCATTTGTGTTTATGGGCACCTTCGAATGAATTTTTGGCCTCGTCCTGATCTGTGAAAACTGACACTCTCAGTTCCATTAAAAAACACTCATTTTGCGCACTTACTACAAAAATAACTATCAATACACTAAATCCCAGCAAATAACTTTATATGGTAATGAAATTATCTGGACAGTGCAGATGATTTCTAGTGGGCAGTGTCTGGACGGTGCAGATAGATTTCAGTCGGCACCATCTAGACAGTGCTGATAGATTTTAGTCGGCACTGTCTGGGGCCTTATTCTGTAAGGAACAACCGCTCGATTCGGTAGAATTTCTTCGATTGTGACGTCATTTTCGGTTTAGTTTTCGCTCGTTTTCGCGCTACCAAACCTAAAATGACGTCACAATCGAAAAAATTCTACCGAATCGAACGCTTCGTTCCTTACAGAATAAGGCCCCTGGGTCAGTGCAGATAGTTTTGTGTCACCACTGTCTAGACAGTAGTCACTCCCTATTTATAAAGCAAAAGCCCGCGAAATCATAACCTGTAGTGCAAACAGCCTACGTCGGCAAGAAAGGACATGCGGCCTACGCCACAACCGGTGATTTGGCGTGGTGGGGGGCTTCAGATTTGTTCCGCACAGGCCTTATGAGGATAGGCTATCCTGTAGTAGTAGTGTGTATTATCCTTGACTCTCACGTGCCGGAAAGGCCAATGGATTTTTCGCCATTAGATTAGGGTGGCAACAGGCACCCCATGCACATGGGCCCAAAAAAAAACGGCACATATTCCAGCATCAGGCCTAAGTAATTAGAAGGTCTACAGGAAATCCCAGAATTTCCGGATGGGTACAAGGAAATCACCAGTTTTTATATCAATTTCTTTTTGCATAACTGCATCTGCAGAAACTTCGGTGCATGATCAAAATCTCTTCTGTAATCCTTTGGTATTTTTTATTTGATAATAATTTATTCAAAGATTTCGCATTCAGCCACACGCGGATAACGGTTCTCACGGAGAAAAGACAAACAAGTCAGAGCATTTTTGATTGGTGTAAATCGGCAACAACCAGTTTTCTGACTATTTTCAACCAATAAAAACTTCGAATTTGATCCCCATATACGCCATTTCCAATGTTAAAAGCAAATACAACTATAGCAAAATTCAATATACGAAACTAGAAAAAAAAAGGACTGCTTATTATTTTAGCTCTGTTCCAACCGAAATGAGAACCGTTCCAGAACTAGAAATTTCCACTTGCCCACCTGTTTTTCAATAAGTTGAACGTTTATCCTACTTGATACATGAATTGATTGACTGGAAATTATCGTTCTAGAACGGTTCTCATATCGGTTGGAATAGAGATTATTTGATATATTATTTCATACAAAATTTTTTTTCGCTATAATATTATCCTAATACACGTACCTAAAAATAAATAACAATCTACATAATACACCTACAAACCTATATATGAGCAAAATACAAATGTCAAGAACATGGCAAATATTAAAATTACTATAGCCAACCATAGGGGAATAGATTCTGAAAATAAAAAAGGAAAAATTAAAATTACGACCAAAAAAGTCGAATTAATTAACTTACTTCTGTAGGGCAAGGTGTGTATACAAACTTGATTATCTACTGATATTGAGAGTACAGCCGCTTCTGCCACACTACACACTGTGTGGTTTTCTGGATTGGACACTGGGAGAAATTCTAGGCCTGTTACAAACATGGAATGTGCACCCGCTACATTTAAAACGCGCTGAAATAGGTAGTCAATGAAAACAAAAATACAGAAAGGGGTAAGATAATATGAGGTAAGTTTATAAATGAACAAATCATATCGTTTTATAGAGAACAAAAAAAAATGCTACAAATGGGTTATATAAGTAATTAATTTTCCTCATTCATGAAGTTATCTCATAATCTTTGATAATTTCTTGAAATAATAATCTTCCTTTTAAATTTTGTTACTTGAATCGTAAATATCGTTAGACATTAACCCTTTTCACGTGGCTCCGGTTTAACAAACCGCAACATACTGCTCAAATTCGAGTGGTAGGTATCCATCACCTCAGTTTGTAACCGGGTTAGAAAACGGTATGTCATTTCTCTAACCGTTTTGTAACCCGGTTAGTTAAACCGCAGCCACGTGAAAAGAACTATTGTGTTTTATTTTTAAAAAATTTTGATTCGGTAGACAATAATACATACTCTGATTAGAAATATCTATATGTATTATTATAATTAGAGTTCTTTTTGCAAGAAACACTTCAACTCATTCAAATTCTATTACCCCGATGCTTTTCCTGCCTACATATCATTCCCAATAAAAACACTTGTAAGTATTACATGATACAATAATAATAGCTTACCTGCAAACTAAATGCTACATGTATAGATACAGATCCGCTAAACATTGTACCTACAGCTATGAATCTACCATCATCTCTGACTGCCAAGGCAGATAAACTTTCATCAAATTCTGTTACTCTTTTTAGAATACCTGAAAATTATATTTTAACAATAAAATAATATTTCCATTACAATATTACATCTAGATGTGTAATGGCCATTTCCAACTATTTTAGGGGAGCCTTAACGATAAGTATGCCCTAAACTGACATTTTTCCATCGAAGACTGTCAATTTAAAGAATACTTATCGTTAAGGGTCCCTTAAAATAGTCGGTGGAAATGGCCATGAGCGTAAGAAGTTTCACTTCAAATACACATGTATTTTCTTATTTATTTTTTTTACCTCTTTGCAATTAATTGTTTGGATTATAAAGGTTACAGATTCATTCAGTTAAGTAAATAAATTTCTATAATTTCTAAATTTTTATAAAATGTGACACCTTTTTTCACACTTGAAAGAAGTGAACTTTTTCCTTTCACACCTTAAAAACGCATTGCAACCAAGTAATTTGAAGATTTACTGCATTAAAAAGTAGCAGAAAAAAAGTATTATTTATACCTTCCTCTGGATACCATTGTTGCAGATAGGATTTCTGCCTTTTAGCCACTCCTGTGGGATTAGCTAACATATACAAAGCCGATTTTTGTTGGCCTTCAATTGATCCAAATCTGCAATTGAAAGTTTTCAAATTTAACTTAGATTTAATTACATCCCCAAATTACCTTTACCTGCATCTTTTGTATAAATACTTTGATCCTTGAGGCTGCTCCCACTTGAGCCTTTTAATTTCAGTACCTTTAACACAATCCCACAAAACTGCCAGGCCATCTTTAGCTATTGTGATGAGAAGGTTGCCAAAAGAACTAAAGTCTATATCGTCTATTTCTTTAGTGTGGGCCTTTAGTTTTGCTAATGGTTCGAGGCCAGGGAATTTCCACATACGAATATCACCATCTGTTCCACCTAAATAACAAAAGTTATTTGATGGATGAATATGTAATACAATCAAGCAGAATTTTACATCCAATCGCATTATATTAATACTAAAAAATAGAGCAAAAAAGAAACAACAGGACTTATTGTGCAAGGAAACTAGACACTCAAATTTTAATCTGTTCTGTTCTACCCCATGTATGGGCAAGACTCTTGCGAGAACAGAACAATAATTGAAGTCAAAAGAAACACAAAGAGCCCTACATGTTTCAAAGCTATTAGAGCTTCATCATTAGGGGCAAGTTTGCTCAATATTACTTTAACAGTTTTACATCATTTAATTTGAAGCCACTGAACTTAGCATTTGGTAGAGGAAAAACCAAAAAGAATTAGAAAAAAAAACATCTACATTTAACATTTAGACAAAGAACATTTAAATTAAACAAATACTAGTTATAAAATTGGTTTTTCCTCTACCAAATGTTAAGTTCAGCAACGTCTTTCGTGGCATTCCTAGTTTTTTAAATCGTCCACATACTCAATCAGTATTACCTTCGAGCTGTCGGACTTGCATAGAAATACTCAAAACTCGACTCAAAATCATTTGTTTTCTCAAATAATCTAGCTTCAGTATATAATTATTATAATTTAAGGTTATCTTTGGTAAGGTCATTATTCAGAAAAAGACTTTGTGCGACTGGCACCTCTTGAAGACCTCCAAGAGAGAATGTGACAATAGTACCTGTTTTGCAACAAAAAAGTACTGTTTTGTTGCAGATTTGTACTCCACTCTAAATATTATGTTAATACAATGCACTATTTTTCCCTCGTTTATTCCTAATTATTTTTTTTATTACAAACAAAAAAATATGAGATGAACAAACACAGGCTGGCAGTAGCCACCACAATCTATCTGTTTGTACTTTTTATATACAGTCACGAGCATTAAAAATTGGACAACCGATTTTTTCTATTGTATTAGCCTTCCTTTTTTAACAAAAAAAATTTGACTGAAACAAATCAATTTGTTCCTGCTCTAAGATTTATTCAATCAAATTTATTTGTTAAAAAAGGAAGGCAAATATATCAAAAAAACTAAAAGAGTACCTACGGCAAACAGGCATTATTGTGATATTTGACAAAAAATCCGTTAAAGAAGGTTTGTTCCAACACGTCACTCATATACGGTTTCGAAACCACTCTTTATACGAATTTCGGGTTCTACGCATTTGATTTGCGCAAGATCGTGACAGTACATTCTACGGTTTTTTGATGCATTGGAACAAAGCAAGAGAAAAGACTTTTATCCAAAATAGCGAAAAATTACGATCTGTCAGTCGGGTGTCCCAGTTTCAATGCTCATGATTGTACTTAAGCCTGCACTTAACTGTATCACAAAAAAAGATAGAAAGTTACAAAAAATATCGCAAACAAATCAAGTACCTTACAAATGTAATCAGAAATTCAAGAAAAGACTATGAATGCAACATTGCCTCTCAGAGTTCAGATAAAACATTTGTGAATAAAACACTATCATCCAAAGTTTCAACAATAACATTAAAGAATGAATCAGATAAACTTTGACTGACGACTTTGATGCAGCGGAATGCTTTGCAAACCAATTTGAAAAGGTATTCACCAAGGGTAATGAAAACGAAATGCCACTAATTCGGGAATACCTACGTGCAACTTCACAGATGACAAATATCGACTTATCTCCTGGTGTATGAAGCAATAAAATCTTTAAAGACAGATTCCAGCCCAGGCTCTTATGGAATTCCAGCAGTGTTCCTGCAAAATTGTGCAGCCATCCTGAGCCAACTCTTGTTTGATCTCATGAAAAGCATTTTTGAAGCTTACAACTTTCCTGAAACTTGGTCAGCATCTTTTGTGAATCCAATATACAAAAAAGGAGACAAAACCGCTCCATGGAACTACCTTCCAATAAGTTTGACATGTAATTTATGCACGTGTATGGAAAAAGTTGTAGTGAAACAGTTAACCCCATTTTTACTGGAGCAAATTCCATTACTGAAGTACCAACAATCAACATGGCTTTCTTCCAGGGCGTTCTCCTGCATAAATTACATCACTTTGGCATTGCTGGGAGCTTGCTACAATTTGTATCAAATTTTCTATTGCACCAATACTGTCAAGTAAGAATAAATGCAACATTTTCAGACAGAAAAAAAGTCCAGGGTGGGATCAGTACTGCAGAGTGGAATCAGTACTGGGCCCTCTACTTTTTCTAGTATATGTCAGCGATATGACATCAAATATCCGAACCAAAATCCTACTTTTTGCTGACGACCCGAAATTGTATGCAAAGGCCGCAAAACACAAGAAATTGCAAGAAGCTATAGAAGAGCTATAGAAGTGTGGTCCAATACCTGGAAAAAGAGGCTTAACTTAGAAAAATGTACTACCTTGAGCATTGGAACCAATACCACTGAATATGTCTACAAAAAAAAAACAAGTTGAATTGTGTGGGAACAAATGGATTTAGGTGTCATAGTGGCCTATAATCTGACCTATACAGTGAGCACGTAAAGGTTGGAATAAAATCTATAAAATATACAGGGTGAATATTTTTCAAAAAACCTCGGACACATCAATTTTTGATTTTATTGGCCGTTTTTGTGATGATAATACCATATAAACAGGGTGACCCGAAAACAAGTTATGACAGCTAACTTGATTTTTTAAGTAAATGAAAACACCAATTTTTTATTTCATTTTTAAATTCTACCTTAAATTCTGAACATATTTCATGTATCATGGCCTATACCTATTTTCAACTGTTTCGGAAATATTGACAGTTGAAAATTGACTTTTTTGCAACTTTGACAGGCTGTAGAATCTAAACGGTTAATTTTAGGGGAAAACCAATTTTACATTCCTATCTCAGATTTTTATAAACTATCATCTGATACCAACTTTGAATTTAATCCATGATTAAAAATTCCAATTAAATTTAATCTCCAGTTAAATTGAAAGTTGGTATCAAATGATAGTTTATAAAAATCTGAGACAGGAATGTAAAATCGGTTTTGCTCTAAAATTAACCTTTTAGGTTCTACAGCCTGTCAAAGTTGCAAAAAGTCAATTTTCAACTGTCAATATTTCCGAAACAGTTGAAGATAGGTATAGGACATGATACATGAAATGGGTTCAGAATTTAACGTAGAATTTGAAAATGAAATAAAAAATTGGTGTTTTCATTTGAAAAAATAAAGTTAGCTGTCAAAACTTGTTTTTGAGTCACCCTGTATACATGGTATTATCATCAAAAAAACGGCCACTAAAATCAAAAATTGACATGTACGAGGTTTTTAAAAAAATATCCACCCTGTATATTTTATAGACTTTATTCCAACCTTTACGTGCTCACTGTATAATAGGAGATGCCCATAACAAAAATAGCCAAAAAATCCAACTCATACTCATCATATATACCTTGTGAAAAAGGCCTTTGAAGACCAGTCGTGTGACACCATTATGAAACTGTATAAATCTTTTACCTACGAGCGTGCGGTAAAGTGAACTTTACCGCACGTATTTGCAAATGGAAAGTATCACTTTACCGCACACTATGCGGTAAAGTGCACTTTACCGCATAGTGTGCGGTAAAGTTAACTTTACAGCATAGTATGCGGTAAAGTAGAATCAAAGTGTGCGGTAAAGTGCACTTTACCGCATAGTGTGCGCTAAAGTAGAATTTGATATTTATAATCAAAAATCCTCTTTTTTTCAGAAAATGGATTTTTGATCATTTTTAAATCTTATCTAATTTCAATAATTAATCTGATTCATTAATTAATTTTATAAATGCCTTTTTTTGAAATGTAGATGCTCATAGGTAAAATTTTGTACCTAACACATGCGGAAAGTGCCTTTACCGCCCTTAACGGCTTGACCGAACTCCGCTTCGCGTCGTTCGGTCAATTGCCGTTGCGTGCGGTAAAGTATCACTTTCCGCATTTGTTAGGTAAATAACTATTAAACGTCCAAAACTAGAATAGGCCTACTCATTTTGGAATCCGTACCTCATAAAGGATATTGAGATACTAGAGCGTGTGCAGAAACGAGCAACAAAGATTCAACCATCACTCCATAATGAAGACTATCTTATTCGACTATCCACTTTGGGACTCACTTCTTTGAGGGAAAGGCGTCTGAGAGGAGATCTGATCCAGACATACAAGATTATTGCTCGGATTATTGGAAATGACTACTCCTATAACCTTGACATCTACATCTCTTAAGCTAGAAGAGCAAAGTTAGCAGAATCGAAAATCAATACATGGAACATTAAAGGCTCATTAAAGGCTAATTAAATGCCCAAATGAGAAATTTTAGGCTTTTTGAATTTCCGCGAAAATGACTGTTCTGCTAGCTTTAACTTAAGCCAGCAGAACATGAGCGAAAAAGTGGTCAAAACAACGAAAATCGCAATTCCACTTGCACAGACATTGAAGGCTTATTAAAGGCTCCGGAAATTCACCAATCACAAATTTCAGGCTCAATTACTTTTTTGATTTACTGAGTTTGGGAAAGATTAAAATTGCAAAGTACCCAAACTAACCAGGTTATTATTGGTAAGTTTAGAAATGTCTTGAATGTCTGTGCAAGTGAAATGGCAATTTCTGTCGTTTTAGCCACTCTTTTGCTCAGGTTCTGCTGGCTTAGGTTAAAGCTAGTAGAATAGCCATTTTCGCGGAAACTAGCAGAGCCTAAAATTTCTCATTACAGCATTTAATTAGCCTTTGATCTATTCACAACGACTGCACTATCGGAACACTGATTTCCACTGTCTGACAGGTTTTTCCGCCATGCTCTGCCGACATTACTCACATATCGCCACTTTTCGCAAAAAGTAATTGAGCCTGAAATTCGCGATTGCTGTATTTCTAGGGCCTTTAATGAGCCTGTAATATCAGTGCATGTGGAATTGAAATTTTCTTTGTTTTAGCCACTTTTTGCCCATGTTCTGCTGGCTTAGGTTAAAGCTAGCAGAAAAGCAATTTTCGCGAAAATTGGCAGAGCCTAAAATTTCTCATTACAGGATTTAATTAGCCTTTAATGTATTCACTACGACTGCACTATCAAAACGCTGATTTTCACCGTCTGAGAGATTTTTCTGCAATGCTTGGCCGATATCACTCACACATCGCGCTTTTTGCATTTTCACAAAAAAAAGTAATTGAGCCTGAAATTCACGATTGGTGTATTTTCAGAGCCTTCAATGAGCCTTTATTGTCTGGTCAAGTGGAATTGTAATTTTCGTTATTTTAGCTAGTTTTTCGCTCATGTTCTGCTAGCTTAAGTTAAAGCTAGCAGAACAGTCATTTTCGCGAAAAATTAAGGAGGCTTAAATTTCTCATCGGGGCATATAATTAGCCTTTAACGTTCCATGTATTAATTTTCGATTCTGCTGACTTTGCTCTTCCAGCTTAAGAGACGTTTGACATCTTTATCTTCAATGACAACCCCCATCTACGAGGTCATACTTTGAAGTTGTGCAAGGAAAAAACCACCAAGCTTCCAAGAAGGAACTTCCTAGCAAATCGAATTGTCTACCTATGGAACAGCCTGTCAAATTCTACAGTCACCATGCAGAGTTTGAATTCTTGTACCATAATAATGATAATAATGAAAGTTTGTTGGTGAATTTCTTTTAATAGATTATTTTTCTTACCACTCGCCATAAGTTTTCCATTTGGATGCAGCCTTACAACCCTGCATAAAGGTTCAGTACCATTAAAATCAGTTTGAACACTATCGCCAGGACTGAGGACAAACTTTAGCCTTTTTTTCGTGTTTTTGTTATTATTAGTCTTGTTTTTTCTTTGCCTAAACTCTCCAGTATCTTCATGATTGTTACCTATCGTTTCTACACTTCCATTTAGTTGAGCGGCTGAAACATAATATATTTTTGCTGTTAGAATCTATTCAAGGATCAAGAAAAGTTAAAGATTCACTCACCAAAATCTGTATTAACATGATACAATTGGCAGTGGCTTTCTTGGCCAGCAACTAAATAAGTATGTTTTTTATCAGGCGAACTTGAAACTGAACAGTTCATTACTACGTTAGGTCCTGTTTCATGTCTAGTTACTTCTTCAACATGGAACTTTTTGCCATCATGTGATAATTCAAATATTTCCTTTAGAAATGAGTCAATATTAATAAGAACACTTTACTATAAATTGATATAGGTCAGGAATACCTGGCATGCATTTGAAAATATTATAACTACTTACAAAGCCATTTGCGACCCCTGTTTTTGAAGAACCTCCGCCACCTCCAACTAAAACATGTCTATTTGTGAGCATTTGTAATGTAAACAACGGGAAATTGATACGAGCCAACACATCGTCGATATTTCTTCGATGTGGGGCCATTTTTCTTAATTTTCCTTCACTTTTTGACGAAAAATTTTCGTAAACTTGAAAAGCTCCACGTAGATAACCTCAAAAATTGAAAATGACAATCAACAAAATTTAAAATTTATCAACAGAAAATAAGGTCAAGGTCATGAGTGGACACTTGGGGTATGTTCGAAAATCACTGGCCGATACCTAACGTGCACCCCGGTGCACCCGAAGATACTCCAATGAAAAATACAAGATTATTATTATGTTCTATAACTGTCTGGGTCTGGAGTAGTATGCGTGGTTAAAAATAAAGTCTGAACCTTATTGGAATTATGGTTCTTAATTCAGAAATTCCGGTGTTCGGATTGAAATCACAATCGATTCAAGAACTGACAAAGCAAAATAGTTGTATTCCTTTCAAGAGTTTGAAACGTCTATGGTTTGAAACACTCGAGCTACTCGCTCCGAGGTGAGTTTGGAATGGTAGAAAGTGTCGACACTTTTTACACTATTGACAATATGGCGTTCGTTAATTGGTAGGAGTAAGTTTGGTGTACACTTTATGTGCGTTTGAAAATAAGGTGGTGTCCGAATGGTGTGAAGATAGTGGGACACCGTTTACCCGGTACAAAATGATGGTGTATTTGGTGTTACACCGTCGATTACACCTTTGTCACGTGATATAACACTGCACTACACGAACACCGCACTAACACTGCACTGAAATCCTATTCCGAACTCAACTCCGGTATTTAGTAGCCCCCGATTTGCGGGGAACAGATTTGTGGTGCAAGAAACACTTTTCGAAAGGAATAGGTGCGTGAAGCCCCGGAGCTGTTCCGGAGCTCCTCCTAGATGTGAAAGGAATACAACTTAAGAGTTCAGTTCTATAATAGTTCTATAACAAACTGTAAACTACGCAGAAGTGTATCCGCGTTGCTCGTGGAATACTAATAATTGATGAAAATAGTGGATCGTATCGAGTATATTTCGGAACGCACCCCAATATCGAGCCAAATTGCGCTGATGCCGGATGTCACGCAAGGTAAGCGGTGCATATGCAAAACGTAGAAAAACGTCAAAAGGTGTGTTTATGATGTATGTGTCATCAGTGTTTCTAAACAATTTAACAAGAATTTTTATGTTTTCCTTTCCTTTACAAAATCGCCTTTATTCATCCGGAATTGTTGCTGACGTGCGAATTAAACTAATTAAATACAGTCTAAGATTCGATAAGATAGAAGAGATTAGGGGGACAATGTTTGGCTTGTATTATAAAAACATACTATGTTTACCAAACATGTTTCTAGTGTAAGGTAATAAGAACATTGATAAATCCAACAAAATGGGCTCACGAGATTGCCGATATGGTATTTTTATTCGCAATGCTATGCTCAAAGATACCAGCAAGACTCAGAACGCCAGAACGGTATTTATGGGGCAAATATGTATCATTGAGGGCATCTTGAAACATGGTATCTTACAAGTACGCCTACTGAAAGAAGGAGACACTTGGGAATCCATGATGTTCATAACAACATGCGAAAATATCGTTAGCGTAATACATGAAAAACTTTGGCAATATATGGCTGCTATATCTTCCCCACAAGACAGGGTCAAGTTTGCAAAAAACAAGTACTTATGTGAGAGGCTCAGCTTGGTCTGTAAAGACATGGTTGTAGGCTTCACAGACTCCAACGATGTTAAACTGGGAAAAGTTAAATACATGGGTCATATTAAAGGGATTGGATATGGTTTTGGACTTGAATTACATGTAAGTTTCAGCTAGATTATACCTATTTTCTATGTGCGAGCTTATTTGTCAATGTTTCACATTTTACATTTAGCTAAGGTAGAAAATTTCTCTTGATATGTTGCAAGACAAAATCTCAACATAAAAAATTTTGAAAGAAGGTCTTTGGATATCAAACAACTCAAAAAAACTCTAAAAAATCATATCTGCAATTCAAATTCTTTCACTGATAAAACCCTGAAAACTTCGACACATTTGAACCAGAGATGAAATTGAGTTAAGGAATGTAGTATGAGAAGAAAATTTTCCAATTTTTCCGCCCCACTTTTTCCAAACATTTTGGCTTCAAATCTCACAATAATTCATTCAATGGCGTTTGTGGGGTTCTTGAGGGGGTTTCAGATGTTCATTTTAAAGACAAAATCTCAACATGAAACTTTGGTTGTGGTCCAACTTTCTTATTTTAAATCGAATACCCTGTGTATTATTGAATATTGGGATTCTACATAAAACTCTGAGCAGATTTCATGTAATATAGGTACCTAACTTCAATTATTTTGGAAATATTGACAAGTCAGTTTTTCTCTAGAAGTGATAGTTTTTGAATTACAAACCAAACATACATTTTTTTCAAATGAGACACCCTGTATACACTAGGAACGCAATTATTCGAGCTCTGGGTTACAATCTAATGAGCCAATGATCCTGATTATCCAAGGTACGCAGTACACGCATCCATGCTCCATATTAACTGAGCTTCTAAAATATGTGTTGCTGGGTACTGTGCTGGGTCCACTATTATTCAATGTTTTCATAAATAACATTTTGTCAATTGTTGATGAGGGGACAGTATTTTGCTTTGTTGATGATACTGCTATCATAGTTCAGTTTGAATCATGGGATCTTGCCATTAGAGCGGCGGAAATCGCTGTCTCAAAAATAAAAAATCCTCTGGACCATAGTTTATTATCATTGAATATAGAAAAGACCGCGGAAAAGACTAAGTTTATGACTTTTGCTCTAACTCAAAAATCATTGCCTGTGACTCAACATCTACAAATACATTGGCCCAAACTTCGTGTCTCATTGTAGCCCAAGGTAAGTCTGAGTTACAAACCGCAATATTTTGGTAAAACATGAAAAGATCGCCTCGAAATATACATAACAGTGAAATTAATATCCACCTGTTGTGTTGGAGACCTCAGAACAATATGAAAATATATTGAGAACGAGTGATAAGGTACTAAACTCACAGCAATAGAAATGTCACTATGGCGAAAACATATCGAAACCGGCAAAAAATTCGGGAGTGCACGTGCAGCTTCTCTGGCAACAGAAATAAGACTAAACATGTTTAATACTTGATGTACTGTGGAATGGAGACAAATAACAAATAGCCCACATTATTAAAAATGTGGCGACTGGGTCATGGTAAACACGTCTCATGGTGGCCCACCCGAGGGCCCACCCTTCCCTACTTGGCAATTTTTCTTAACAAAAATTTAAGCTGGAAAGATCATGTTGACTGGGCCACAAAAAAAAATTAGAAAATTAATATACAAATTCCTTGAACTTGGAAACATCTTACCTTTCAAAATGTTGAACGCGGTTTATCATTCATTGGTTGAATCCATCATAAATTATGCAATAATTGTCTGGGGCAATGCACCAAAAACAGTGTTGACTAAACTATGTATAGCTATAGCCCAAAAATATATAATTAAGGTAATGATGTTTAGAAATGAAAGATTTTCTACAGAACTGCTATTTCAGGAAAGTATACTCTTGGACCTAAAACAATTATATATAAAATCTGCATTAGGATTCATGATTAACAATCAGTGCTACGGAAATGAACTGCTGCATAACCTGAACACAAGACATGCAGCAAACCACAACCTGTCAATGGCCTTTGTCAGGCACACAGCAACTCAGCGATATATCAGCTATACTGGCCCCAGAGTTTATAACACTTTAGCTTTCTCACTTAAAAATAAGCCATTTAATAAAATAAAAACTCGAATTCAAGACTGGATTCTGGACAATAACCTTATTGTAACTTTATCGAAGCCGAGATCGAAGCATTATATAGATTAAAATTTACTACCGTAATAATTATATAGGTAATTTTTCCAGTAGGTATAAATTTTTATTTGTAGCATAGCCTAATTATATATTATGTACCTCGATATGCAAATGAGTCTGAGTTAATGACCAGCATGCACAGATTTTCAAAATCCATAGTGCTGGTTAAAAGCTTAGGGCCATATTCTCCGTAGTTCATAAAGCCTGGCTTAATGGAAACGCTTGGATTTTTGTGTGACAAAGCCGAGCTTTTCCACTAAGCCAGGCTTTATGAACTACGGAGAATATGGCCCTTAGTAGTATAAATAGTAAGATGATCACCTAGGTATAAGTAAGATAGTTTGACTTCTCTTGTAAGCTATATTTTACTATATGAAAATAAAGGATAACGCACACCTAACATGGGATTTTTGGGCTCTATGGATTTTGCCCATTTTTTGATATGTTGTAGAGGATTTAATTCTGAACAACCTTTAAATGGGACGAAATCTTGTAGGTGTTACGGTCTTTGAGATATGAGCGTTGAAAGATGAACTTTTTTGCAACTTTTTGTGTGGAGAGTATACGAAAAACTGGTGTTTATTAGTCAAAATTTTGAAAGGTCGACATATTTTACGTCACTAACAAATGTCAACATAAGCTAAGGCCGGGACCGCACTGGCGCCAACATTCACCGCAGTGCGGTCCCGGCCTTAACCTAAGTTGACATATGTGAACCTGTCAATATTTTGACTGAAAAACACCAGTATCACCAGTATCTCGTATACTCTCCACACAAAAAGTCGCAAAAAAGTTCATCTTCCAACGCTCATATCGCAAAGACCGTAATACCTACAAGATTTCGTTTCATTTAAAGGTTGTTCAGAATTAAATCCTCTACAACATATCAAAAAATGGGCAAAATCCATAGAGCCCAAAAATCCCATGTTAGGTGTGCGTTATCCTTTGATTTGATTTGATATAATCAGGCCTATGATGTATCATATTCTGTTATTATAACAGCAACGTTAAGTTTTCTGTCACTGTTCAATATATACGTCAAAATAGAAAGAGGTATAGATTTTGAGCTATAACATAGCTGTTAAAATAACAGGAGAGGATACATCATAGGCCTGATTGTATGTACATACTGAGGTACATACATATACCATTTCCATTTAAAATTGTAGGGGGCGATGAGAAATCCTTTTGGCCCGTTCGAGTGGTTCCCTTATTTATGTTTTTAGATTTTTCATTTTTTAGCATGGAAAGTTGCGTAAATACGGATTATTCGACTTTACAGTTATCTGAGGAGCGTGCCTCCCACGTTATCTCGGATAACTGGGATTCTACGTCATTGGGTTCTACCTCGGGTTCTACTGTATTAATAACTCATCTCTTGACACAGATGACAGAATGGTTCCCTAGGACTATAAATAACGATTTTCGAGCATATACTGGGTGACAATTTGAAAAGTAGCAATCGGGAATATCTCTTGAACAAGAAATACTATCAGGATAATCTCAAATACGTATCGGGGGATTTGAAGGGGAACCAAAATGAGACACTTTTCGATTTACCCTGCCTCACTTGTTAGCGGGAAGCTACCTGCACTCGATGAAGGTATCGTTTTCCAACCAATTATTTATTTATTTAATAATAATATAATAGTAATTTAACAACATTTGATCATTATTTAGAGAACATAGTACATAAATTATAGTCAAAATACACAAATAATAGTACCTAGCTGATTTAACAGCTGTATGTGCTGATAGAACCCAAAACCAATAGGTCTTTACAAGCTTATAGTAGTTTTATAAATTGTTTGTTGTTCTTATATGTAAAGTTTTTACAGGCTATGCTAAATCTTTTCATGTTTTCCAGCCTTCTAACATTCTCAGGCAGCAGGTTGTAGAATTTTGGACCCAAATAACTGATAAATCTTTGGTTGATATTTTTATGACTACTTGGAATCTGCAGTTTGCCCAGTGTTCTACTCCTTGTCGCATGGCAAGTAACCGGAATTTTCAGTAACCATCTGTCAACCGATTCGGTTACTTTGCTTAACGTTTGGTTATATTTGGACCATAGCCCAAATGTGTTTATTGCTTGACTCCTACCCCTCCTGTTCTAGAGGCTTGCCCCCTAATGATTTTTCTAAAATGAGAAACTACCCTGTGTGATACCTCCTTTGAAAGGTTTTTTATTCCTCTTTAGAGGCGTGATCATTTCATTTCAGCTACAATATAGAACATGATCACTTGACTCTTCATCTGGAAAACACAAAAACAATTTGGCCTGGCAAAGTTGAAGAGCATTCAGCTATTCTATTAAAGCCCCATTAGGCTGAATTCACTTGAAACCACGTTGTGCAGCTGACACCCAACAGCAAATCATGATTCAACCATTTCTCGCCGGTATTCGGTAGTGCCCCACTGCTACACTTACCGTAAATAGTATATTAGTGCAACAAATGGGATCCTAACCTATTATGGTGGACGGCTTCCCCAGGGGACACCAATTACCAAAAAGAAATAATCAGACCGTGATTTGTTGCCCTGGATATCAGTGAGACGCAACTTCAATTATTGTTTATTATTTTTTGTTTTATTTCTGTTTTTCTTTTTCTTTATGTTGTACAAGACTTGGCAAAAAAAATTAAACCAAATTTTAGTTATTATAGAATGTCCTTTTAATGTTGATATTACTTGTGAGGGAACATAATATTAAGTATCATTATTGAATGTATAAGCGCAGTTATAGTGTCTAGATCTACAAAATCTTTTAAATGATATATTTTCACATTGTGACATTGTTCTGTTGTTATGTTTATTGTAAGCATCTGAACAAATGAAGAATATCTATCTAACTATCTCTTGAGAGGAAGTTATTGCAAACATCTACAGCCAAATGCTTAAAGTCTTAATACCTAACATGGTCAACTAAAAGTAACTTACCAAATTCTCATTTGAAGGGCAGTTAGGTAATTATTATTTTTTTAATAGCTTATTCCTCCACAATAGTCTACTGCTGAATGACGAATATGAAAATAAATAAGAAAAAAAAGGTGCAATAGCTTGTTTACATTACCGTGGTCCCTTTTTCTCTTACTTCAGTCACCTTCATTGATGATTCATCAATTAGGTATAATAATATCGAGATAAACAAATCCTTCCATCTTTTACTTGCTGAAATGCACAAAACACCAATTTCAAATTATTTCGAAAATTTGATGAAAAACCTTTTGAGAGTGATCATTATTCGAGTGGCAAAAATTGCCAAAACTACTTTAGTTCAAAACGATAATCACTGTATACTTATTATGCAACAGATAATATACAGGGTGTTAGTAAAAAGTGGGATCAAATTTCTAGGATAAATAGTACTCATTAAAATATGAAAAAAGTTAATGGAAACATAGGTCCGCAAATGCTTAGTTTTCAAGATACAGGGTGTCAAAGTTTGAAAAAATCGGTTTTTCAAAATCCGTTTCCCAAATTTCTTTAAACTTGTCATATTTGTTTGTAATAATAACAAAAGGTATCTTTTGACTCAATTAGGTGCTAGTTGACGTCTCACACATAACCTCAATGACATGTTTGTCCCCCTATCGGAAGTCACATTATGTCATTGGTGACAAGCTAGCGCCTGAGTATTAAATGGTCCTTTCAAACGCTTTGTTTGTCCCCCAGACGGAAGTGAGGTTATATATGTGACGTCAGCTAGTGCCTAATTGGATTTACCGTAATTATTCCAGTGGCGCCCCAGAAGGCAATTGCATTGGTGAAAGTAGAAAAAAAATGGCATGTCACTATTTTTTTTATAACTTTGATATTTTTACAGATCAAGCAAGTCATAAAACAGTCAAAAGATACCTTTCATTATCACAAACAAACCTGTCAAATTTGAAAAAGAAAATTGGAAAAGGGATTTTCGAGCTAAAAAACCGATTTTTTTTCAAAATTTGACACCCTGTATCTCGAAAACTAAGCATTCGCGGACCCATGTTTCTATTAACTTTTTTCCTATTTTAATGAGTACGTTTTATCCTAGAAGTTTGATCCCACTATTCATTAACACCCTGTATAACTTTCCAATCGATTCACACTGACCAAATATACGTCCAATGGTCCAATTCAATGACGTCAAATAAACGTTTGATAAACGTCTTAATACAGGGTATTTTTTCTGAATGGGTCATATTGGGTTTTATATGGTAACTTTTGAATCTGTTTGTTCATGTCATGGTCAAATAAATGCCACTGCGTGACGTCCCAAACAAGTCAAAATATGACTTGTTTGGGACGTCACGCAGTGGCAACCTCTTTCCGACATCGAATTTCTGTTTAATCGACATAAATCTATTTAAAATCGACGTCATAACGACTAACCTTTGCTGCTTGGGATGTTTGCTAGAATAAGAAAAAAGACCTGCTGGAAAACATCCTCCAGCATTTTTAATGTTTCAATGGATTTGGATCAGACGACTTTTTCACAGATCTGTTTTTGTATTAAAATTGTATTCGCTAACATCGAATGATCTCTATCTTAGGCCCGGTTTATTCATCTTGAGATAAACTTGCTGGTAACTATCTGCAAGATAAATTTGCAGATCTATAATCTTATTGGTCACTGGATAATTGGTTTATCAATGGGATTACATCTTGCCGTTTTTAGAGCCGGGAATAGACAAAAATTTGAGAATTGAAAGGCAGGCATTAAGGGAAAATGGAGTAGATAAGTAGACTATATGTTTTTTCTATTCGAGGCTCTTGAATTTTCTTTATGTAGAGATATTTAGGAGGAACAATTCAAGAGCAGGGAATAGACAAAAATTGAGACAGAAAAATTCAGAAATTTAGAGAAGAAATTTAAGAAAAATTTCTAAAAAGCAGAACCTATCTGTGAGAAGAAAACCATCATTTGACTATTTCACAGATTTAATGGGTTTGCCCAGGTATTCTCTGATGTAAAGTAAAAGCTTAAGCTTTCGCAGATAGTTTGGATTGGAAAGATTGCCTAAATGAACTTCAAAATAAAGACAAAACAATTATAATAATTAAGTTAATAATTAGTTTTGCAATATATCATGTTGATTTTCAACAATTATAATTCCTTCGAGGATTGAACCGAGGATTGAACCCTTTCATTTGCTATACCTACTAGCCGTTCTTCTAAAGACCACATATTTTCTGTCAGTAGTGCTCCACTTAGTTATATGTGCTCCTTTGTAGAGTTTTGTATTGCCTTGCTATTGCATGTATTCTTATGTATACTCCCTTGTATACATATTTATTTCTATGTATTTTTGTACAAATAATAATACATTATCAATTTTTTCAATATTTTATTGATAAATATACACATACATTTCTGTTACTTGAACAGCATAATCTATTCAAGAGGCATTACATCCTAAATGCCAGATGTTTTTTAGAAAGCGTAATGTGCTAATATTTATTCTACTCACGTGCCTGCACGTAAAAGAACATCGTAATCTAATGAGACTAGCTTCCTCTCAAATTGTAATTGGATATTTATATACTTAATGTATTCTGAATCCGAAGGTTCTGATTAAAGTATTGCATTATTTTTCAGTTTCACCTAAGTATATTATTGTTAGTTGTTGATGAAACAGCGGAAAAGCTGATTTTCCTGCTTGAGGATCATTTATTTTTTCAAAAAACGTAAATTTGTTAACAATTTTTTTCTTAGATTGATTACTCGCTTGACAATAAAATGATCATTTGCCATTCACGTAGCAATTTTTTAACCCACATTAACAGCCCACATTTCAATACAGGCATATTAACATTCAAGTAAGGTGCACCAGTCGTATAGCAATCAAAACCCAATTTAGGCAGTCACATGTTAAATATTGACACTATGCTATAATTTCAATTCGAATTTTAAGCTGGTAGTAGCTCATTTGCATTCGCCCAAGGCATACTGAGCTAATTAATAATTCAAATTTTACAATTTATTGCTTAAAATAAATATATATTTTAAATGTTTTCAAGTCGCAAATGATTCATTGTGTTTGCAAAGTTATGCCTGAACAGTCATGAAAATCGAATTTGTGTTAAGGATTTTGTGTAATAAATGGAACATTGGTTGATAAACTGCATAGAAGTGTTTGTTCATACCTAGTGTGCGTAATTTGTCATTGTTGTTATTTATTGCAAATTGTTAAACTTTATCGCTTGCTTGGTCAATATATTATGAAGGTCGTGGGTGATGTGACGCGGTACAAAAAAAAATGTATTTCTAAACATTAGGAAAAATTAACATTAGAAAAGCATACTAGCAAAATTTGCCTTAAATTAATCGAAACTGTTAACCATTTCCGAGATCTAAATAACAGTTGACCTCAAACGAAGCAAACCTTGTATACAAAACTTGTGTAATTCCTAAATATTCCCTTGAAACATTTTGTTTTCAAAGTTTTCAACAGAACAATTGACTTACATATTTGTTAAATGGCATCACACATAGATACAAAAATGAGCCCATATAAATAAATATGTCATCTTCACTTGGAAAAGTTCCAATTTCAAAACAATAATATGTGGTAATTTCTCCTGAGTTTCTTACTTGTTTTCTTAATGTTTTTTAAAATACATTTTTACACCCAAATACCACCAATAATAAATTGAACTGTTCTCATTCATTGGAATTTATTTCGATAAAAGCGTCAATAACAGTTGCTATCTTAAACTGTAAATAATTTTATCTTCAAAGTAATTAATGTTGTATCTAATCCCACATATAGGGGTACTCATAATTTTTCCACCTGGTGATTAATACATTCGAAATTTTATTGTTGTTATTATTTTACTTATAAATGTTTCATTCTTTCCAGGAGAAGCGAGCCTCTAACAAATGTAACGGTTATTGCGCCGGTATCCAGTACTTTCAGTGTCTTCCAGGTCGTGGATTGTTCACAACCATAGAGAAAATTCAACCAACTTTTACTAGTAAAGAACCGGATAGGCCTATTATTGATAAATCACCTCCACAAAACCATCTCACTGACTTGGACGTTTTGATTAAAGAAAACATGACTGATTTGTTTACTAGAAATAAAAGTTTAGGTAAATAAACATTCATGTATTTATGTATTTTTTAATTATTTTTATTTTTATTAGATAAGCCTCCCAGAGAGGAAATAGTAACAAAATATGGTGAGTACTCAGAAAAATTATCCACTCTAGCTAAGAGCACTCAACTGAATCATAACATGAGAAATTCAGTATCTTTGCAAAATATTCTCGAGGTAGACGGAGGCAGCATCAACACCAACAATGATTTTGATCAGAACACTATTATTCAGCCTGATAGAAGTCATCTAATGAATACTGAAAAAATAAAGGTAAATACATTTGAGCTTTACAATAACAAGAATTTTATGTCAAATGATAAGTGATCAAATAGCGAATAAAAAAACCACACTGTTCTCTTGGAAGCACTTCAAATTTTATTGTAAAATTTCATTATTCTCATAGGACGTTTTTCATATACATAGATCCAAAAAATAGACCGTTTTTTGGCCTTTTTCTATTTCTCCAATGTCATTTGATTATCATTTTAGAGCTCACCCACTATTACACAGTTTTTTTCTTGCATCTGTCTCAATTGGCTAAGCTTTGGGTACGATGATTATTTTTTTAAAGAAAATAACAGATACGAAATTTTCTGCTGATTTTTAAAAATCATGTATTTTTTATAAGCTTTTGTTTTAAATATTGGCATTAAAGGATTTCAGATATTTTTTTAATTAAAATCTAAATAGTTATTGGACAAGTAATCAAGTAGAAAATAATTAAATTATTAAGTGTATTCCTGAATAAGGAAGTTAGCGATAACAAGAAAACTGAGGAAATATGTGAAATAGGTACGTGGAATATTAGAAGTATGTTCGGGAAAGAAAAAGAACTAGAAGAAGAATTCGAAAACACAGACTTGAAACTGCTAGCCATAACAGAAATAAAGAAGAAGGGACAAGGATTGATAAATATGGATAATGGCCATATATGTACTTGTGTACAGTGGAATTAAGAAAGATGAAAGAGCATCAGCGGGTGTTGCATGCATAATTCACAAAGACATAAAAGAGAAAACACTAAAACCACTGTATTTTATAAATCGGTTTCTCTCTGTGAAAGCCATGTTGTGGCAGTATCGGAAACTTGGATCCAGGATGGTGTATTTGATAATGAATTGTTCAACGACAACTATGCTGTCTATAGGGCTGACCGCAGGCTTGATCTCATGGATGTCTCAAGAGGTGGAGGGGTGCTTCTTGGTGTTAGGCACGACCTCACCTCGTCAAAACTTAACCTGGAAGAACTGGAAAATCTGGTACCTGTTGTTGATATTGTAGGCTGTAAGCTATATTTAGATAACTCTACCCTGTTTATTTTTGGTATTTATATTCCACCCAACTCACCCTCCAACTCACACCAGACCCTATTTGATTTTTTCTCCACATATGAACCTATTCAAAATAACAAAGTCGCTTTTATCGGTGATTTCAATCCCAACACAAATGTTAAGGAAACTCATATAAATGATTTTTTAGCGCTGGGGGGCCTAACACAATTTAACACTTTCTCAAACATATCTGGTAACATATTGGATCTTGTTATTGCTAACTTTGAATGTGAGGTAACTAGAGAACATCTTCCCCTTGTCCCGGAGGATTCTGCACACCCCACCCTTAATGTTTCATTTGACATGCAGCTAAACCCAGATGCGGGTTTCAGTGACTTTCCAACCTCTAACACAAGTAGAAACTATAACTTTAATAAGGCCGATTTCAACCTGATGTACCATCTACTTACTGTCGCAAATTGGGACTCTTTAATCAATGAATCTAATGTTAACCAAGCCGTCAATCATTTCTATGATACTCTTTACACCATTTTTGACCAATGTGTCCCATTGTATAAAAAGAAATCAAGTAGGGTTGTGTACCCCAACTGGTACACCAAAGAAATAATAAACAATCTTAATGAGAAGACTAGGCTTCACAAAAAATATAAAAAAAGTGGCTCAAACTTGGACTATCAAGCATATTCAAACATGAGACGTATGACAAAAATAAAAATTGATGTCGCATACAAAGCATATATAAGGGACACTGAATCTTCAATCAAGGTGAATCCAAAGCACTTCTGGAAATACATTCGTCAAAAACGCAATAAAACACGTATCCCAAGTAAACTAATTTCTGGTCAATCCTCCCTAGATTGTCCACAGAGTATAGTTAATGGCTTTGCAGAGTTTTTTAAAAGTGTCTATGAAGCATCTTCAGATTTTAGCTTGGATAGCCTGAATGATGTTGGCAACTCTCAGAACATTAATGTCACCCATATTACTGAATCGGAAATCTTTGATTCCCTGAAAAAATTGAAAAACACACATACTTCTGGGCATGACAAAGTACCATCTTTCATACTGCGGGACTGTGCCCCATGTTTTACATCTCCACTGCACCACATATTTAATTTAACAATCAAGACACACACTTTCCCCGATCACTGGAAAAAAACTAAAATATGTCCAGTATTTAAGGGCGGGGATATTAACAATATCTCTAATTACAGACCAATCTCGATTTTGTCCAACTTTTCGAAGGCCTTTGAGGTCTGTGTATATGACAATCTCTTCCACCAAGTTAAAAACTTAATTACCACTATCCAGCATGGATTTTATAGCAAACGCTCAACTGTCACTAACCTAACTTCTTTCCTAACAAAGGCATATCAGGCTGTAAATGAAAGAAAACAACTTGATGTGATCTACACGGACTTCTCGAAGGCGTTCGATAAGTTGGACCATGGGCTTATTGCTCATAAAATGCTACAAATTGGGTTTCACAACAACCTTATTAATCTATTTATCTCCTATCTCAGTGGTAGGTCACAATTTGTCGAATACAATGGGTTCCAATCCTATGATTATAATGCCACCAGCGGAGCCCCTCAAGGAAGTAATCTCGCGCCTCTGATATTTGCCATATTTGTCAATGATATTGCCCAGAACGTCTCATCACACAGTTTATTATTCGCAGACGACCTCAAACTATTTAGAATAATTAACAACTTGGAGGATTGTAACGAGCTGCAGAAAGATATTGACGCACTTTCAGGTTGGTGTCAAAATAACAAATTATATCTAAACATCAATAAGTGTAAATCAATGACCATCTCAAATCTCAATCATGAGTTGAATTTTAATTACCAACTCCAATCTAGTTCTCTTTTGAAAGTTGACTCAATCCGGGATCTGGGGGTGGTGATCGACAAAAAGCTCACATTCAATGATCATATTGATCAAATTGTGAATTCATCATTGAAAACCCTGGGGTTTATTATTAGATCAACAAGAGAGTTTAAGAACATCGACAGTCTCATCACGTTGTACAACTCTTTGGTCAAGTCTAAATTGCAGTATGCTTCTCTGGTGTGGTTTCCTTACCATCAAGTACATGTGGACAGGCTTGAATATGTTCAACGGCGATTCCTAAAATATCTAAGTTTCAAAAAGGATGGAATTTACCCTCCAAGAGGATTTGACCACCAGTTGCTACTCAGCAAGTTCAACTTCCTCTCACTTCAACAGAGTACAATTTTAGCAAGTCAACTCTTTCTTTTTAAATTATGTAACAACCTGGTGGACTCTCCAGATCTTCTAAACAGCCTTAATTTTTCTTTACCAGTAGTCAACACACGCTCTCACCGTAAATTCTATTTGGAAAATCGCCCCACATATCTTGCCAGAAAGGAGCCAATCTATCGAGCCTGCTCATACTTCAATCACCTGCAGAACAGTATCGATGTAGACTTATTTGTAGGTTCAGTAAACTCCTTTAAAAAAAATATCCTGCCAGTGGTTCGCAATCTGTGATAATGTATTTGCTGTGATAATTGTCCTGGCGGAAGTATGGGAGGTGACTTTCTATCTCTATTTTTTTTTTTCCTATTTTAACTGAGTAAACAATGCTAGTTTTTCTTATTATTTTTATTTGTATTTTTGTTTTTATTTTTATTTATACTTATTTTTATCTATATTTTTATTTTTATTTTTATTTTTATTTTTATTTTTATTTTTATTTATTTTTATTTTTATTTTTATTTCTATTTTTACTTTTATTTTTATTTTTATTTTTATTTTTATTTTTATTTTTATTTTTATTTTTATTTTTTGTTATTAGTTATTTTTGTTTTTAGTTTCATAGTTGTTTTTATTTTTGTTTAAGGCTTCTTATTAGCTTTCTGGATCTTATGTGTGATATAATCTTAGCTTTTAAATTTTCATATTTTTGTTCGCTCTTAAGTGCACTAATTGTCTCATTATTGGGAGTATGTATTCCTGTTAGACAATAAAGAATTGAATTGAATTGAATTGAATTGAATTGAAAATGAGCAAGTGGAAAGGTTGGTCGGAACGATTATTAGTGTTGGAACTTAAAGATAAAAATAAAAGCATAAGAACTATTATAGTTGTGTATGGACCCAATGAAGACGATTCAATAGGTAATAAGATAAATTCTGGGAAGATTTAACCATGGCCACAGAAGATGCAAAAGGAAAAATAATTATACTTGGAGATTTTAACAGCAGAGTGGAAATAAAAGATGGCACATATAACACAGTAATAGGATAATAGAAAGGAAGTATTGGATACCAAGGTTAGAAGAGGGCCGGAAATAGGTAGTGACCACTTTTTACTTGTCACAAAAATTAGAGAGCCAGTAGAGAATAGAAAACATGATTGTCAAAAGATAGAAAAAAAAATAGAATATGAATCAGTGAAATAATGCAAACTACAAAATAAAGAAATAGCAGAGAGATACAAGAAAACATTAGCAGAAAGATTCTCTAATGATAACATGCATAAATGAAAATACTAATGTAGAAGACATGTGGAAGTATTTCAAGAAAATAGTTATGGAGACAACAAAAGAAATATGTGGCACTAGTAAGAAAACTAATAAGAAAAAATAAACAGCATGGTGGACAGAAGAAATAAAGAGACAAGTAAAATGTAAAAAAAAGCATGGAAGATTTACATAAATAATAGAACAACTCAAAATTATGAAAGGTACAAAGAGAGCAGAAAAACAGTAAAAGATATGGTAGCAGTGGCAAAACGAAACCAATAGGAAGAATTTGGTGAAAAAATAGAAAGAGATAGCAAATCAAATCAAAAACTATTCTACAAAACTTTGAAGTCGTTACGCAAAGAGAAAGTACAAGAAATAAGTTGGATAAAGAATAAAGACGGAGAGAGGCTAACAAATGAAAACGAAATAATGAATGGATGGAGAGAATACTTCCAGAAATTACTAGGAGCCGATAAAATAGTACAAAGTGAAAACAAAGAAAATGATGTGATTGAAGAAAATCAAGAAAATGAGGAAAATATAACCATAAACGAATTGCAGGAAATAATAAAGGAATTGAAGAATGGAAAATCACCTGGAACAGATAAATTACCAGCGGAAATGTTCTGGGGGATACAGGAATGGAAATACTAATAAGAATATTTAATACAGCGTGGAAAAAAGAAAAGATACCGGAAGATTGGAAAACAGCCCTAATAGTTCCAATATACAAAAAGGGAGACAGGCATGATTGTAATAAGTATAGAAGGATAAATCTACTTAGTACAGCAATGAAAATATATGAGAAAATTATAGACAAAAAAATATGGCATAGAATAGAGAATACCCTTGAAGGGTCACAAAGTGAATTTAGAAAAGGCCGAAGCATACAGGATCACATATTCACAGTAAAACAAATAAATGAAAAGTTCTCACAGCAAGGAAAAGTAGTATATATGGGATTCATAGACCTTGAAAAGGCTTTCGATAAAGTTCGAAGAGAGAAGTTATGGAAAATATTGGAAGAGAGGGGAGTTAATACTAAAATAATAAGAATAATTAAAAACATATATGAGAACAACATAAACTGTGTAATATATAGAAATAATATATCAGAAGCGTTTTCAACGCAAGAAGGATTAAGGCAAGGAGGAGGACTAAGCCCATTAATATTTACGATCTTTATTGACGAAATAATCAAAAAATCTTCGAGAAGAATGACAAAATTACACGTGGGACACTGGAATCTGAAAAGAGTAGATGTATCAGAGGGAGCTTTTGCAGATGATGTAATAATTATGGCAGAAAAAGAAAAAGACTTACAAAAAAATATAGAAATTTGGAATGCGGTTTGTGAAGAATTCGGAATGAGAGTAAATAAACACAAAACTAAAGTTATGGCTATAGGAGAGGAACAAATGGATATAAATGTACAAATAGATGGAATAAAAATCGAACAAGTAAAAACATTCAAGTATCTGGGAGTAGAAATATAGAAGACAATGGCAGACAAGAAATAGAAATTAACAATAGAGTAGAAAAAACAACAAATCTTTACTACATGATGAATTCGGCGTTTATAAATAAAAAAGAAATTTCAAGGAAAACAAAGATAAATGTATTTAAAACAATATATCGACCAATTTTAACATTTGGATATGAATCATGGGTGTTGACAAACAGACAAAAAAGTAAAATACAGGCAGTTGAAATGAAGTATCTCAGACGAGTTAGAGGTGTCACAAAGATGGATAAACTGAGAAATACAGAAATAAGAAAAGACCTTGACATAGAATCAACACTCAAGTTCATTGAAAAGTGACAATTAAGCTGGTGGGGGCATCTAGAAAAGATGAACGACATTAGACCAGTCAAAAGAGTATGGCAATCAAAGATAGAAAAAAGAAGGAAAAGAGGAAGACCAAGACAAACATGGGATGGAGTTATCGGAAGCATACTGCAAGAAAAAGGAAAGACATGGGCACAGAGGCAAGGGAGAATGGCAAGAGATAAAAAATAATGGGCAAAATTTGTACACGAATAAAATTTTATTTAGTTGTATAATGTAATATAATGTAATTGTAGGTGAATTACACCCCTACACCATATATTATGGTACTCGGGGATTTTGATAATATATATATAAGTGTATTCCTAGATCTTTTAGGACATAAAGAACTACTTTCTCAAGAATAAAGGGTTTTTAACCCTAACATGTTAAATTTACTCTCCAAATTTTGTCCCATCGCATCTCAAACTCAATCAAATTACCGTTTACACTATAAACATTTTTTTCTCCAAACGTCAGAAAAACGTCACTTTGTCAGCACCTGTCGAGATGTTAGAAATTTAATTTCTATGCTGCTAGGCAACCGCAGCGGCAGTAGAAGTACTTTTAGTGCCGCTCGTACTTTTACTGCCGCTTAACCATTCAGTTACCCCCGAGCTTACCCTATTCGTTTGGAGAAAAAATAGCGTGTTGCATACGGAGTAGAAGCACTTTTTTGTGCTTCAGCACAAAACAGTAAAGCTTCTACTCCCAATAAAACAATATACTATTTTCTGCGATTGACAAGAAATGTCAGCATTTTTGACCGGTTGACAGGTCGCAAAACCAAATATTCTGGTATTTTAATTATGTTCCAATAGTTGCTAAGGAATCAATGAATAACAATACGGGAAACACTTTTCCGGCCTAATTTAATTTTTGATTGTTTTACCTCAGTATTTTTTTTTTAGAACAAGTCAGAAGTGGATTTACATGATCTTATCGGCCATCCTTGGGGTAATTCAGATGCTACTAAAGCAGAAAGTTACACAAACTTAAGGAAAAGTTTGGACAGAAATGATAATATTAAAGAAAAATATAGCCCACTACTGAATAGAAACAGTACAATAAGGTATGTAGCAGGAGTTAGTCATTTTATCAACATTTAATGATTTTTTTTCAGTTCCAATGGTACCTTAAGTAAGAGCCCAAGAATTAAAAGCATAATCCCCATAAATCATTTGTTAGAAGGTACTGGTACAATGAAAAAGAGCAAATTTTATACATCAGATGCATCGTATATTGAGAATAATCTTGAAAAGACTGGTAGCAAAGTCAATTCCAGGAAGATAGAGAACGGCAAAAGTGAGTGAAAGTTTCTCTATGAGTTGCAGCTTTATTCTGACAAAAATATATCATTTTTCACTTCAGCCCACGCCAATCTGTTAACTTGACAAATAATGTGATTATGCAAATGTGTCACTTTATCGAAAATACTATGAATCTGAGGCTCTTTATAATACAGTGGCGTAGACCCTTGAAAATATAAATAAACCAATTTCTAACACATTTAGGTTACTGTTTGCTCAGATTTCGAAAGCAAAAAAGATAAAAATAGCGCGCCTCTGTTCCTTACACAGCATGTTCCAAAAATAACCGGCTACTAACACTTGGCCAAATAGCATGACCCTTTTTTTTAGACGCACGCTATTTTTAGCTCACCCCAGTAGTCTTATGGCGGATTTCTTGGCGGAATCGTCACAAACTTTCCTAAATTACGCGAGTTTTCCGGGTTCAGAAAGTGCGTCGAACAAGATATGGTGCAAGTGTTTGATTTGGCCGAGAATGGTTTGATATGTTGTGCCAGACGGATAAAAAGTGTGTATAGGGGGGTGCGCGAAAAGTGCATTAGAATTATTGTTCTATAATTGTTTAGAAATATTTCATGGTTGTACTATATGAAAATTCTTGTTTCTCAAATAGCCGCACCTTCATAATAGTTCAAAAATATTTTATGACATGATGAAGCACCGGATTCGGAATAAAACTGTGTTTGCCTGTCCAGTGTTTCCGGTTGGTTTGTCAACAATATTTTCCAATGTTAGGGAAATTTCAATCGCTCCAAAAATCCACATCATTTTCCCAAGTATTTTCTCACCAAAATTCTTGAGAATATTGATTGTATTTGAATTTTGAATTTCTATTTTTACACATTTTGTTCGAATTGGATTTCAAACAACGCTTCTATATAGTATACATTAAGAGGCAAATTTTTTAAAGATGAAAAACCATCCAGGAAATTGATGTATTATAGAGCTATAGTTAAAAGTTGATTCAAAGGTTGTTTCACTCAAAAGTTTTATCAAATAAGTAATGCACTTTTCCAAACCCTGTCTATAAATAAATATTGGCCATAAAATCATCCAGTCAAAACAAATGTTATTAACGAAAAAACTTGATATTCATAACGAGATATCATTGGCACTGTGTTCCCTTAAAACACCCTATCAATCAGACATCAATAGTCTAAATCAGCCAGTATCATGTCGCTGGCCAAAAGCAAACCGCAAAGTTTAACCCTAAACTTCTACAATGACAAAAATAAGTCAAAAAAACCCAATAATAATAACAATGATGTGTGCTATAAAAATTCCTATTGTGATAATGATGTTATTTATGCGAACACTAGTGCTCGCGACTACTTCGATTGCGAGTATAATCTTCTGCCCTTGTCCGTTATAGAGTTGAACAGCGCGAAACCGAAGGACCAACGAAATGGCAAGAAGAGTCAGAGAAAAGATACAAGTATGTTTTGGTCTAATTAGTGCAAATTTAAGGCTCATAGTACTGGAATTCTAAATCTAAAAAATATAATACAAACCTTGAGCTTTATTATCCACAGCCTTTAATTGCATATCCGGTGAAATAATCGTATTCCGGACAATATAAAGAGCAAATAAGTGGGCTGTATCAATGATTTATTGTTTTGAAATAACAAATAAATGTACTGAAGATGTATTTTTAAACAATTTGTTCTATTTTAGAATATCTTGAACCTTACATTGCACCCAAAGAAACTAACCACGGGAAACCCACAGCTACCTTCTATGTTCTAGAAAAAGATAAATATAAGGATCCTGCTCCTGGAACAACTAACGATTTAGTTGTTGGAAGCTTGGTCGAGGTCGAGACTGATGTTACAGAACAACCCCTTTACGGTAAGAATCTATCACAGATTTTTTGAAATAATTTGATTTATTTGAACAACTTTACAAACACTTAGTAGTTATAATGTAAAGTTGAAAACCAGCAGATAGAAATTGAAGTTAGCAAAATTGAATAAACATTAAGAACCTACTTAAAACTGGGACAGCAGCTATGATCCTATCAATTCAATTATGGGTATTATAATAATATTATTATTATCAGTATGGCAATAGGAAGCGGTTAGTGTCCGATTGCTTTAAATTGTCTGGGTTTTGGTCTTATGTATGAGAAGTTACAAATAAGGCACTGTGGCATTATTCAACGTTTCTAGGTTTTTGTCTAGTCTATTTTTAAATGCATTTAGGTGCACTTATAGTTTCTTCACTTAAAGAATTCCACTGATATACGACACGGTTGCTCAGGAAGTTCCTTCTTCCAAAAAGTAGGGCCCTTTCTCTTTTTAATTTTTGGTGGTGTCCTCTGAGATTTCAGTTTTGATTTAAATTTAAATTGTACATATCTGATATCATAATGTCGGGAATAGTAATCGTTGAGAATTTTGTAGGTCTCTATTAGGTCACCTCTTTCTCTTCGTTGCTTCAGTGTTGTTAAATTGAATTTCTGTAGCCTGGTCTCGTAAGGTAATTGTCTAATCTCAAGTGGAATTTTAGTTATTCTATGTTGCACTCGATGTCCTTAATATAGTAAGGGTTCCACACTGTATGGCCATATTCTAGCTTGGGTCTGATGTAAGTAGTGTAAAGCTTTTTTATCTTGCTAATGGAGTGGTTTGTAAAGGCCAGTTTCATCAAGTAGGACATCTGGTTGGCTTTTTTTACCACAGCTTACTGTGTGTCCTATATGTGTTTCCCATTTAAGGTCGTTAGTTACATATACACCTAGGTCCTTTTGTTCTTTTACATTTTTTAATTCTATGTTATTAATTTTGTACTAAATCATTGGGTTTTTGCGACCTATAATGGAGCACTGTGCATTTTGCCTCGTTGAGCTTGAGTTGCCAGGTGCTTGTCCATTGCTCTATTGCTCGCAGATCTTCTTGGAACAGGTGCATTTGTGTCAGTGGGTTGCAAAAATTTTTTTTGTCATCTTCAAAGGCTTCAATGTTTGTTCCAATGCTTTTTGCCAGGTCTGCTATGTAGATCAAAAAGAAAATGGAAGCTATGACCGATTCTTGTGGTACTCCACTCGTGACTCTGTAGAGGTCTGAGTTCCATTTACTCTTACTTGGAAATGTCTCTCGTTGAGAAAGTTCTTGCTCCACCGTAGGTAGAGGCCTCGGATTCCACAGTGATTCAGTTTGTATAGCAGCCTTTCATGAGGGACAGTATCAAATGCTTTTTGGAAATCCAAGTATAGGGGTTTCCCTCATCAATTTTTTTAGTCCATGCGTTTAAGCAATTGAGTAGGTTTGTGGTAGTAGATCTACTTGATAGAAAGCCGTGCTGTGTGGATGTTATAATATGTGTGTCTAGGAGGAACGTGGTCATTTCTTTGACAATAATTTTTTCCAATAACTTGCACAGTGTGCATATCAGGCTAATTGATCTATAGTTGCTCGGGTGCATATTTCTGGTAGGATACCCTCTGCAAGGGAACTCTTAAATAGTGATTTTATAAGTGATGTTATGGATGGTGCACAATTTTTCAGAAATACTGCAAGTATTCCATCTGGTCCTGGACTGGAGTGAGTTTTCAGGTCTTTTAAAGTTTCGGTGCCTATGATTATGTTTTTCAATTGGTCTTTGTTTCGTGTTTTTTGCGGCAAAAAAAGTTGGATAAGGATTCATTTGTGAAGACTGATTCAAACTGACTTGCAAAGATTTTTGCAGTGTTTTTTGGGTCCCTCAATATCTGTTGGACTTTTGGATCCTTAATTACGAGATCATGGAGCTAGCTACTTAGTTTTATGTTTATCGTTCTTTTCCAGGATATCCTGTTCATATTAAGGACGTGATTCAGTTATAAATGATTTTAGTTTGTTGTTTTGCGTCCTGTATATTTTATACTGTGCGTCCGTTTTATTTTTCATGTATTTGGTCCACAATCCCCTCTTTTTATCGATTTCTATAAAAATTCTCTCATTTATCCATGGTTTCTGTACGTTTGTTCTGCATATTTTTTCTGGAAAGAACTTTCCAATTTCTGTTGTAAGAATATCTTCGAAGTCTTGGTAGTTACTTACTATTGTTTTGATTCTGATTGTTTTATTTCTTATAATATGATCATTGACTGGTTCGTAGTCGTCTATGTAGAAGTTATTTTTTTTATTTTTTTTGTAGGCTGTTTTTTGAGTTTGAGCTGCATTGTTGCAGCAATGAGATTGTGGTCACTCGTGCCAAAAGGTGGTCTAGATTCTATGTTAGACATCATCTTTTTGTCACAAATCTGACGTCGAAGGAGATTAGTTGGTGCCATCTCGTCGAGTGATTTAAACAAATTTGCCAACATCTGAGTATGTGTGAACCGTTTATCAATAAAATTTACATTAAGATCGCCTGCCAGTAAACTATTAATTTTAATAGGCATTCTGTACAGCGTTGCCAGACGTACGACAGGTGTGGTATTTGTACGACAGTTTAGGGCATCTTCGTTACAAGAAAATCAATGCGTACGGTAGTACGGTAATGTACCACAGTTTTGAAATTCTCCTTTTTTTCTTATGTGTGTTGGCCAAATTGGGTTTGGGTGGAGTTTGGGTACCTTGCTTGACAAACTTGCATGTGATTATGATGGGTTATGTGATGTGTCAATTATGTCATACTCCCCTAACTCCCTCTCCATCAAATTCTGGGCCTGCGACCGTGCGACGTCACTATCAGCATCTTATAGCGATGACGTCGCCCGCAGACCTCGATGGAGTGCTTGCGATTTAGGCTGTTCTAGTGAGTTAAATTTTGTCGATTTTAAATGTAGAAAAGGTGATTTTTGGTCTGTTTTAACACAGAAGAAATTAAAAGCGTTTTCTCGCGGGGCGAATGGTTCAATTACGGTTTAAACCTCGGTTTAAACCAATTTGTAGATGACGTCATTACTTATGAACGCGAGAAAATGGAAGGTTTGAACCACAGTCTTATGTTAACGAAGAATAAGTTATGATTCCGGTTCGAATTTTTCTGAACCAGGTTCAATGTGACGTCACTGGTTCAACGCAAGAATGTATAGGTTCGAAACTAATTGAACCGGATCGAACAAGTTCCATCGCAAGAAAACAGCTTAAAGCCTAGTCTCCATAGACGCGAAATCGCGAAAAGCGAATTTTTTAAGTGTCATTTTTTGGTGGCTATTTCCGAGCAAATTATTCCCATGTCTCCATAAGCGCGAAATTCGCGTTTTATTTAACAGGTTAAGGTTACCTATGTGTTGTTGTTTGTAATCAATTTGAATTCGATTTAAATGCTTTGAATTTCAAACAATAATCTTTGAAAACCATGAAAGTGATAACTAAAAAACAAAAAAAGATATGTGTCTTGGTGTTGTCTTAATTACATTTAAGGCCCTATTATAATCTTCCTCATCAACCAGCAAGCTGTAATTTATGTCTGTTTTCGGGTCTACAATATTCAATTATTTGGCAGTATCCATTCTTTATTAGGTATCTACAAGTACAAAACACATCAACGACTCACAGAGGACAGAGCACATACCGACAAAAACATAAACAAAACTAAACTGAAAGTAACACCACATAACCTCATTTTTTTTTGGCGAAATTTCGCGGAAAGTTAAAAAATAGTTAACTTTTTTGCGACGCCGCAAGAAGTTAAAAAATTCGCGAATTTTTCCCGCCATAAAAAAATCAAATGTTAAATGTCAAATTCCAACCAATCGGAAAATATCCGCAAAAAAAAATTCGCGATTTCGCGTCCATGGAGACTAGGCTTAAGTGTTCTTGATCCTCGAGTATCCCAGAATTTGATGGTGGGGGAGTTAGGAGAGTATAACACAATTAACACATCACATAATCGAGCATCAACGTTACAAAAGAATTTGTTTCAATTTGACTAAGTACCTACAAAGTACCTCAATAAATTTAATAAATAGTTACTCCTTCCTGTTGCTGTAATTTTTAATGTAAGGTCTATTTTTAAGTTTCCACTATTTTGCGTTCTTAAAAAAATCATATTTTTTCTAGTAAATAGGTATGTACCTACTAAAAATGTATTATGTGAGGTAATGTGTACCACAAGTATTCGTGGTGCGTACGTCACTGTACGACAGTTTTTGAGCATTGTGTACCACACTTCCATATCTAGAGTCTGGCAACGCTGATTCTGTATATCAAAGTTTCCAATCTTTTGAGAAATAAAGGAAAATCGCCATTTGGTGGTGTATACAGACATACAATAAACATATTTAAAGTCGTCAGTGAGTGCACAACCGAAAAATCAATTTTTTTTTTCCACTAAAATGTATTAAAATCTGTACAGTTAGTAAAATATTGGTCATCAAAATAGTCGTCGCGTATCAAAACCATGGTTCCTCTATGAATAAAATTAGTTCTACAAAATACAGACAATACACAATACCTGGGCAAGACCAGAGTTTCGTTGGGTGACAGCCAGTGTTCGAGAAGAATAATATGCGGCAGGTTACTTAATTGACTCTAAGAAAAGGTATCGACCTTATTACGAACAGACTGAATATTGATCTGTCCGTAATATTATCTACACTGGTATTAGAAACTCAAAGCTCGGTGGTCGAATTAGAAATGCTGACAACAGATTGAAAAACTTGAGAACATAGAAATTTTGTAAGTAGTATCTTTGCGCTATAGGATGCATTTCCATGTTCCTTTCATTATAGTGCATAAGAAGTCCAAGGTCAAATAAACTATACCTACTATCCTCACGAGCACTCATGAATTCTATTCTTAATCAAAGTATTATTATTATCAATTTTATCATTCACTAGATTTTGACCATTTGACACAAACGCTGATCCAACCACAATTAGATTTGTCGTCTCAGCCAGCAGTAGCAGTTCATTCAGA